TTTTGCGAAAATGATAGATTGTGTAACCAACTGGGATATAGATGTGGCACTGGGGTTTAGCTGTGGCATTATTATGTTGTTAGCATGTGTTGTTATACGGGATTAGAGTAAGTCTTTAACGAGAATGTTTATGATAGTATTTTACTACATCACAGATTGATAACGGAATTAAATTATTACTGTCGGGGTTTTATTAACGTATTTCATTCAGTTAATGTGCAATGATAACAACTTCATTCGATGTTAATACGTCGGTACGTCAATGCTATTTATATGTCTGACAATAAATTCAAGTCAAAGGCCAAGGTAGTATTTTAAATTCGGTGCATTAAATCAGCTGTTGAGGCTGTTTCACCGCATAAATAATTCAGTATACGTAGATTTAACCGTTTTACAAACAAAATTTTATTGAACAATATCCACTTGCTTTAAAAATGTAAATATCGGGCAAATGGAATTTGTTAATTTTCATAAAGTTATTTGTCTCATATAAATTGCTTCTTTTTAACATTATTTATAAAGAGAACAATTAGCTTTGAGCCAAAAAAAATATTTCTTACCAGTTCGCAAAGTCGCCAGTGAGTTGCTTATTTTTTGTGAGAGTACGAGAAGCCAGAAAGAATCTAGAAATTAAACATGGATATAAAATATGTAAATATAATTAATTAAACATTTTAGGGGCTAATGCATTAACGAAAGAAAATTGATACTGCCTTGTCATTGATATAATTAGGTATAGTAATACAGATCTGCTTGATGCAACAAACAGGCATCGGATAAAAAAATCCACGCATAAAAAAATAATAGAACTTTTCCGAATCGTTAGTACAGCATCTTCATTTATGTATAATATATATAGTATTTTCTGATTTACAGTACAGTTTTGCGCATGGTATTTTTATATATTTGAGGAAATCTTTTATTTTCTTACATATTTAAGAATTCAATAAACATAAATATTAATGCTGTTAATACATTTTATTGCTTCGTCGTATCGGGAACTCAACCAATAACAGTGCTTGTGTCGCCATCTCTCGGATTGTCTGTGAGATATTTCTTGTATTCGAAATAGATTTGATCATTTTTTTTGGGCACCGAGCCTCCAAATATTAGAATATTTATAATGAGACTGAATACTGAACTCTTCGAGAGAGTGCTGAAACTTAAATGTATTTATTAAAAGCTATAACAAATACACTAAAATATCATTGTATATATTATAATCAATTACCAAAACGGTTTTAAAATATGTAAATTTTCAATTGTATACAGAATTAATTTTTAACTGTATACAGAGATTCTGTATATAATTAAAGTTCCTGAATTAAAAGTATAGTATACTTTAGAAGAAAATATGGAATTAAAATTCTAGAGCATTGCTAGATTAAGGAAGATCGTGGTGCTAAGCATATTGTTCGTTCAGGAACTTGTTTGTTTTTATGAAGAAAAATCTAGATTAAAAGTAATTATAGAATGATTTTGCTGCTCTAGGCAGGGCCGGCGCCAGAGTATGTGCAATCAGTACGGCCGCACCGGCAGGAAAATTTAGGAAAGAATCGAGCGGCAGAATATTGGATTTGCTGGCGTTTGCATCCGGCGGCAAAAAGTCTAGCATCGGACCAGGCCTAGGCTGGGGATCTGAACTTAGACGATAATCAGACTGAGAAAGATCTAGACATTTCTTAAAAATATTTTTTTTAGCTTTCTTTATTGAATAGTAACTGGGTACATCCTTTTTTATTATGTTTGTTTTTTTGTATTTTGTTTATATTATTATTGAAATATACTATATCCCATCAAATCTCAAGACACTTGGAATTATATCTAAGAATTTCTTCAGAGCGGTTCGGTTTGGTTCATTAGGACAAAATATCTTTTAACTGCAGGGGACAATTTTTCTTCAGCATATTTCAGCATCCAGGGCTTCGATAAAGTAATATAAAATTATGCTACTTTTTACGCTGAAATATGGCTTGCGCTGCAGAAGTTACTACTGTTTCATTACCCGAAACATTAAAGGGTTAGTTAGAGGTATGCATGAATAAAGTTTGTCGTTAACAATATCTTTATAATGTTAGCATGATGGGAGTGAAGCAAGATACCATAGCCTTAGACCCGGGTTCAAATCCCGTAGAAGATATGGCTGTTTGTAAGTGTATAGTATCTTTGCGGCATGGGGCTGTTAAAATACTGTTGAGCCGAAAGTTCTATCAAGAAATTGGTAGAAGAAGATGGCAGATCCTCAAAATCGTCCTTCGGAGTAATTTCTGTCAAAACTGTGGGTCAGCTTAATCCTTCTCGCAGGTATGATTTGGACGCCTTTTGTGATGCACTTTGGATAACGTTCTCAGTGATGAGATAGCTGAATGTCCGATGGGTTTTGTTATTCCTAAGGAACATATTGAGTTGCAAGTGTCCGGACGTTTGGAACAACAAGAACAGTAGAAAATTAATTGATTATATGTCCATATACTTTTTCCATATACTTTTTCTGAGACGTTAAAAACTATTATCATTTCTTGCTTTGTTAAAATGTAATTTCACGAATATACAATTTTCAAAATTTAAATAGCTCAAAGCTCGAAATCCAACATCCCGAAATTTCCAAATTTTAGATCATCAGTTTAAATCTAATAAAATGACGTATATAAAGAATAAATTTAAAAATATTCTTCATTAATATTTTTTTAAGCAAGAGGTATTTTTCATAAAGAATATTTTTTTTTAAATCACCACCACGTGAAATTGAATCCGAAATTGTGATATTTTATGGATCCATACAACAGATATTCGCGATTCCGTTAATTGATTGATGACTGATGCATTGTCATCATAATGTAAGTTATATTGTCTCCATTTAGCATTTCTTCTCATATTCCATCCACAGGAAAATTTCACATTTTGTTATATACGGAAATCTTCTGTTTCGAGGCTTTCATCATGATGAAATTTAGTAGCTGGCATTAAATTATGCGAAGCATTTTTAAAAATATCTGCAGACATGTTCTTTCACGATCTTGTAGTGCCCCTTGTATTAGATATTATTTCTAGATTTCTTGGATGGTTTGCTGCTGTTTCGGTTTTATATTTCCATTTCAATGCGCGCATAATTCCAATATCCACTGCCTAATTGACGTCAGTGGATATTGAAATTGAGATTGCGGGGAAAGAATAAAATGGAGACGTTAATGTAATATTGAGAATTTGATTGTCATTAGCCTCGATGGGATTCCATAGCCAGCAAGTGTTTAAAGTTACAGAAATCTCAGAAAATGCCTTTTATGCGACCTGCTGTTTCTTGTATATTATACTCTTCATTTCTCGAGTACTGTATACTTTGTAAGGGGAAAATTTCCTAGAGGTCCGGAGCAGTGTCGTTTCTAAGCCATTGGCTGCCCACGTGCTTTCTTAAAATTGCCCCCCCCCAATTTTTTTTAAATGCTCATTAATGAATACAATTTTTTATTTCAATATCATTAAGTATTTGCATATGAAACTGTGTAAAAAGTACTTACATATGACAACTACTTACAGTGAATTAAAAATATTTAGGCATAGTATTGCAGAGAGTCCGGTCGCTACTGATCTTCATCGCCCACATACTATTACACACTGCACCCCCGCTAAAAACGGCCCTGGTCCGGAGGTCTGGATATTAGATCACTCCGGATTGGGGAGCCGACTTTCGTACTTTAATGTAATTCATTACCACTTTACCTGAAAATCAAAAATTTTGTGCTTGTAGTTATTCCATCGATAAGTTGATAAATGGGAATTCTGTGTTAAAATGTGTTCCATGCAAGTTTCTTCGAAATTTATATAGGAATGTTAGATCACAGGGCTTATTTTATAAACCCTTGTATTTTTTAAATGAAAACATTTTTATTTTATTTTATTTTATTGAATTTTAATGTTAACTAGCAACTTTTTTCACTTTATGATATGTATTATAATGCAAGACAGAAAATCTTTTGCATTCAATTAATGCAAGTACATATCTCCATTCTTATTCTGCTGAATATATATGTGCATTGATAGGCTAAAACTTTAATTATATAAAATTAATTAAGCAAGCATTTTTTATGAAGGACTGAGAAGTACACTTTAAATAAACCAGTTTTGTTTTATTAAAAACTGGAAGTATTATACTTTTAATACTTTTAAATATCAATAATATATTTATTTTCTGATATACAATACAAAGTCCGTAATCCGGACTCGTCGAAACATCAGCGATTCTGGATTAGGGGTTTTTCCGGATTATAGATCATCAGTTTATATCTGGTAAGATGGCATGCAGAAATTATACAATTAAAAATATGTAACCATAATTTATGAAATAAAGAGCAATTATGATCTAAAGGGTATCAAAATTTACAAAAAAAAAAAAAAAAAGCTTAATATTTATTTATTTACTTCATTTCTTTCAATGTAAGTTATTTAAGTTGCTTCGTTTTTTGTGCTAATAATTTCTCTTTAATTCTATAAACAGACATAATTTCTTGTTCAGTTACAAAGTTCAACTGTTCAAGTCTTGTAATTGCTGTGTCGAGAATACCCACTAACTTGTCAATCGAAATTTTTTCGTTTTCAATAACCTCTCTGTCACTTTCTTCACTATCGGAAGTCCGCATGCGTAAACGCATTACGTAAGTTTGTGGGTTTGAGGTCCGGATTATAGATCATTCCGGATAATGGACGTCCGGATTACGGACTTTGTGCTGTATATATATATTAAAGTTTTTTTATTTTTTTTAAGCGTATACTTAGAAAAATAAAATTTGAGTAATTCGTACTGAGTGAAATTTTCCTTTATTTTATATTTAATCTAATGCTTTCATATATTTATTAAAAAACAACCACTGTACTTATCATTTATATTTAATTAACCAGGAAAAAATATTAAGAGTTTTTCTAAAAATGAAACTATTAATGTAAATGTTATTTTATCTCATAATCTAACAATTAATTATATTTGTTAATATTATTTTATAGAAAGCTGGAAATATTCTCAACTTCTGCAATGAAACAGTCAAGTTAAATGGGTCAGTGCCAATTTCAGTCATGGCTGCCATAGTGTTTACAAATACAACACTAACTAGTGTAACAATGGCAACGACAGGACAGCATACAGTTGCCTTCGTAGGAACTGGTACTGGTGTACTGAAAAAGGTAATTTTGTATGTTTCCAGTATTTCTTAATGATATGAGAAGAAATTTCTTTACAGGTAATCATTTTCTTCCAGAATTTCCCCAGTTTTGGGAACAGGAGAGAATTTAATTAAATAAAAGTGCTCTTTAGTTAAATTTAAAATTTTAAAGAAATCTTAATCTATTTTGATGATTCACATAATTATTGTTGCATGTGTAAAGGTTCATTATGGATTGAATGCATACAGAACCACTGCTGGGTAGATAGAACTTATTTTCTCAAAAGAAAAGTTCTGGAACTTTTCATGAAAGTAGTACCACTCTTCTCAGTATGACTGAGCACAATTAGTATTTACACTTCAAATTACTAAGGAAGTTAAACAACTCAATATAAAATGCTTCAACTGCATAAACTCACACAGTGGTCTCTGAATCCTCTGAGATAAACTCTTAACTAAACTGAGAACTAATGCTCTTTCCAGTATAGTTTTCCCTCAGCTGAGAAATTTCCAGTGCCTTCGATTTCTTGAAGCTAATGGAAGGCATACACAATTATAGTTACATAGTGTTGGATACAGTTGGTTACATAGAAATCAGACTAGTTACAGTAATACAGCGAATGGACCAAAATGTTGCTAGTTAGAGGCCATGTTTGATGATAACTTGCCAAATTCGGCAACAAAAATTAATCCCCACAACCATCGCCAGCTTGGCTAATTTAGCCAGTTTGGTGAGACGGCCATTTACTTTAATGTTAAATGGACTTATCCCTATAATCCTATTTTTCCAGGTGGCTTACCAGCGACCAAGCAGTAAAGTAGCTGAACACGGGTGGTTCAGTCCAGGCTATGAATCCTGGGGAATGGGCTGGTTGTATAGGCATTTTCATGGTTGTTCCCATGTGTAATGTGTATATGAGCCAGTTTTTCCTAGAATGTCCTCCATGAAGGCTGTGTTCTTTTAGGCAGATAACCCTTGCATGCTTTGCCATAATCAAGTAAACCAAACCTATTTTTCTAGCAAAATTTTGCATTTCTGATGCCCTTCATGTTACATTATTCAAGATATATTATAATTTACATATAATCTTGCTAAAATAATTTACATATATACAAAACTCGTAACATTATTTAACACATTTAACTTAATTTACACTTTAATTCAGCTGTTATTTTTCATTTTCTAAATTTTTTTAAATGATAACAGATTAATTTTCATTCTTTTCTTTACTTGTTTTTTTTATAGACCGAGTAGGCGGCTTTTTTTTTTTTTTTTTTTTTTTTTTTTTTTTTTTTATAATCTTTCATGTGCATTTGCAAAATATATAAATCAACTTTTGAAGCTGTAAATTGAAAATTACAGATTGAAAAGTCATGATTTTAGTTTAGAAATAATTCTATGCTGTTATAAAAAAAGGGCATGTTGAAGAATAAATGTTAAATTATCAATATGAATCATGTAACATGCATGAATTTACAGTACTATAGCTTCAAAGATTAAATAAAACCCATCTTCTTCTTCAGCTTCTGGAGGGAAAATTTCAATGAAGAAACTTATCCTCATGGGATAACTAAAGATTATTATTATTTTTTTATTTATTTATTTATTTTTTTTTTAATGAGAAAGCTTCAGAAAATGAGAGGAAGAGTTTAACCGTTAAAACTATATTGCACTACAAGTTCATACATGTTACCATGATTCCTGTTGATAATTATTATTTTAAGCAACATCTACTGTTGTAAAATATGTTGGAAACGATGCAAAAAAAAATTAATGTACATAGTGTAATTCTTAATTTAGTAACTGTATATTTTTATTTGTATATAGCTTTTTTATAATATATATTAATTTTTTTATTGCAGTTGCTCATAACAAAAAGTACAGAGGCGGAAGAATTTGAAGAAGTAGTGGTAGATTCTGGTAATCCGATATTAGGAGATCTTGCTTTGGATCCATCTCAACAATATATATATGCAGCTTCACCTTACAAGGTGTCCAGAATGCTTTATTAACATATTTTCCTTTTGGTTGATTTGTATTAGTTTTATCATGCATTAGATTCATAAAAAGTATTTTTAAACTCATTTTCTCAGTATTTTAGCTAATACTTTGTTTTATTAAATGTACGATTGTGCCATTTTTTATTTAAAAATTGCAGTTAAGTATATATTTATAATGACTAATTCAACAAGCATATTCTGTCTTGAATAATTTATATTACTTTTTTTAATTCAACAACATGGTTTTTTAATACTTAAATTGTTCATTCCTATTATATATATATATATAGCTTGATTTCTTAGTTTACAGCTTGTACATTTTTAGTTCTTACGTACGCATTTTTAAAAATGTGTTAATATTTTTTTTATTTATTTATCTAACTTTACTGTTTTGTTGTAAATAGTTTGTTGCCTTTTTCTAAAATTTTCCAAAATAAAAGTATATGTTAGCACTATATCTTTTAATCCTTTATTATACTACATAATAATTAAAATTGCAGTTGTAGGAAAATATTTGCATATGCATTGTAATTTCCTTTGTTATTAACTTTTTCTTTTAAACTTATTCAGAATCAATGTTTCCTTCACTGCAATACTTTCTATAACATATTATTCTTTTTCAGATAAGCAAAATACGTATAGAAGCCTGTCAACAATACAATACCTGTGATAAATGCCTTCAAGCAAGAAATCCTTACTGTGGTTGGTGCTCCCTCGAAAGGAGGTACTTTCCATTGATTTTTTATTTACCTTTTATAAATAATAAAATTTCCAATTGCATTTTTATACATATTCTGTTTTAAAGTCAATTAGTTAATTAATTAATTAGCCATTTAAATTTATAGATGCCTTGTTCTTCATCATATAAGCTCTGTCCATCATGATTATGGCAGTCATTTTACCATGGAGGGGAAAGACAATTCACAGGGCAAGTAGTGAAAATTTGCAAAATGTTTGAGGCCTGTTATATACACTAATAATTTTCAAATTATTTCACAAATGAGACTTTATGTTAATATTTTGAGGCCAGAGGGATGTATGCCAGAAATAAAGCAATAACACAAATAACTGGTATGTAATTGGTAAATCAAAATTATAATACACAATTTTATTACAATCCACAATTCATGAAAATTCACATCATGATACAGTTATTGATTAAATTGTAGTCAAACTGAAAAGCAAATTTAACAAATTTTTAATTTGTAGTATTACAGTAAAAGCTGGTGATGAAATGGTGAATTCTGAAAACCTGAAAATTATTGATATCAAATAATCAATATATAAAATAAAAATTATTATATAAATCAAATTATAAATTATATTATTTTCAATCAAATTATAGTCATTTTAGTTGTTATCAATGAATATTAAATGACACTGTTTAAATTATACAAGGTTGTCAAAAGAAAAAAGGGCATCTTAGATATTAATGCCAAAATAAAACATCATATTCAATTGCAAAATTCTTTCAATCATGAAAATTGGTGGTGATCTTGTCAAACTTCCACCAGTCATTCCTTCAGAAATTAGAAGGAACAGATTGTTTTTCATTTAATTAATCAAATACAAGTTATAACCATAACATATAAAAAAAAACTTAAATTATTTGTCATAACTTATGGCCTTGTTTTTTTCCATTTTCTTTTAAGTAGCATTTTTCTTAACTCCAGGATTATAATATAAATTTAAAAGTATTCTATGGCATGCTGTTCCGTTGAAAACAAGTCCTTAATTTTAATCTTTTTTTTTTTTTTTTTTAATATGATTGATAAACAGATAAAATGCAGTTAACTTGCTTCATTTTGTACAAAAATTAAACCATCTTATCAACAATTATTTGGGTGTACATAAAGCCAAAGTGTTACATCATGCTTATCCATTATTGCTACTAAATCACACTGTTTGGCAACAGTTGATGTTTGATTCAAATCATAGTCCTATTGATGTTTTATAAGGGAGTTACAAGTCTCTTATTTGTTTAAACTTTTACAATGAGCTATAGAGACCAAATTTGTACATATTAGGACCATTTATTCGTCTGTTTTAGGCAAGGAGCAGAAAAACAAATCGGCAGGGTCTTATACTTCATATTAAGGAGGAAATTTTAAATCTCAGTTTACTGAAATTTCTTGAGACATATTTAAAGCAGTGCATGGGTGGGACATATATGTCCCAAAAAAAGGTTAATTTTATTTTTATTTATGATTTTTTTTCCAGATTCAAAAATATTTTGGTTACTTTGCTTTTCAATTAATTGAAAGCTGTATAATCAGGCTTTTACTGTAGTTTCAAAATGAGAATGTCTTGTTAACTAGGGGAGATTTTCAGAAGCAAAATTTGTCACCATCTAGATTTATGAGTAAATTCCAAAACATATTTTAATTTAATTTTTTTGATACAACTGAATTGATATATCTTGAAATACACTACCATTAAAATTTATTTTTTAATTAATGGTATATTTTTTTAGATCTTTGTTATAGCTATGGTAATCAAAATTCCTTTACACTTCCATGGGAAAAGTTTTTTTTTTTTTTTTAATATCATGTCCTGTCTTGTTTGAATATAGGTGTACAATCAAAGCTGCCTGTCAGAATGCTACTTGGTCATTTAGTGATCGTAGTTCTCCTCGGTGGTTGTCCTTAGAAACAAAACAATGCATAGATTTTCAAGCTGTGAGACCTGATCAGCTGCCTTATAACAGCATGGCTGTAGTAAGTTTAATTCTATTGCTTCATATCCTCTGTTTTGTATGATCTAAATTGTTCAAATTTTACAGCCTTGTGATTGAAATTAAGTTTATATTTTTATAATCAATTTAAATTTTATTTGGTAAGAATGTTCTGTAATTGTATACTTCATTTCTTCTTTTAAATCAGGCTATATAACCAAACTTTTTCTTTAATTGAATTTTTAATTATTTTTTAGTTGTTTCTTATTTATTGTCCTTCTCTCTTCCTTTTTTCTTCCATTTGTATGCATATATAAAGTGCAGAAAAAATTTTATCTAAATTAGAATTGTTGCTTAGCAGAAATAAAAAAGAACTATGGATTTTTTTACTTATACTTAATTGAGTTGTCAGATCTGAAGTTATAAGAAACTTTTTCCAAGAAACAAGCTTGCCCATCACCACCATTGGAGGGTTCCTAGCTGAAACATGTTTCATTGAAAGCTATATCCTACACATGAATTTTTGACACTGAACTGAAAATGTTTTATTTGAAGTGTTATCCTTTACATGATTTCTCAAAAGAATTAGTTTTTGCTGAAGTCAATCAATCAGAATCTCCAAAATAAAAATTCTGGAAAATGTTTCTTTCAATGGGTAGCTTGTAGATAGAACAAAGGTAGATTCTAGATATGATACTGGTTTCAGAATGAATATGACTCTAGAATCTGAAGTAAGATATTTTTATAAAAAGGTCTAAATTATATCAAATTTTTCTCATCATATGGGCAATGCATTAGGAGTTAAAAATTGTACATATTTCCCACCATACTGCACCTTTATTTGTTATTTAATCAAATCAAATACAGTGCAAAATGCAATAATATTAAGAACTGCGTGAAAAGTAAAATTTCTTCAGTCACAAGTCATCATTTATCATTTCATGGTAATAGTTGGTATAATTTGTAGCCTTTTAGTAATGGAGTTTTCTTCAAAGTTTGTAGCGTTTCTTTAATCATATTAAAGCAAAATGTCCACTGTATGGTTATTTTTTAAAATTTTACCAAATACCTGAAACCATGATCATAAAAAATAAAAATGCATAATTTATTACAAAATAGTGTAATTTCCTTTAGGTAGAATTAGTGATCAATCAGTTGCCACAGTTGCCATATGGTGCCCACTATCTATGCGTTTTTGGAGAAAGTGCACCAATCCAAGCCAGAGTAACACATAGTGGATTAGCATGCATGACTCCTCTTGTCACTGCAAGACCACCTATTTTAACAAATGAAGGTATAGGTTTGAAACTTGTATTGCATTATATTCCTTATAAAATATAACATGTTTTGTACTTAAAACAATGAAATATATTAGATCATATATAAAAGTGCATTGCTAAAATGACCCTTTTCATATTTGAATTTTAGCATTTTATTCATTTAATATGTTTCTGTTTATTTAAGAAATTTTTATTTCTTATCCCTTCATTTCTTTTTCTCTGCATGTGTATTATAAAATATTTCTTTTGATATTTCTCAAGACACATTTAATTTATAATTTTCATATTTAAAACATCAGACCTTAAATGGAATACTATCTAATAAATAAGCTCTGTAAAATTATATTAAAGATTATTACAGTTATGCATAGACAAATCTTCTTTGTGTAACTAAATTATGTATTTAGGAATTTTCTCTGAATTCTTTCTTATTGAAATCCACTGCATAATTACTGTAAATTTTGGATTTATATAACAGTATTTATTTTCAGATCATGTTATTGTGAACCTTGCTGTTCGATCTAGTGAAACTGAAACAGATTTCATTCACCGGCCATTTGTGTTTTATGATTGTGAAGTTCACAAAACGTAAGTTCTTTTTCAAGAGCTTTTTTTGTGAAACTTTTATTTTTTATGTTTAGTTAATGAATTTAGTAGGCATTAAACTTAACGTTCATTTTCCATTTTCTCCATGTTAGATGTAAAGCTTGTGTAACTAGTACCTGGGCTTGTAGTTGGTGCGTCCATGAAAATACTTGTACAAGTAATGCAACAACTTGTTCTCGTAGAGTCATTGTTGGAGAAAGTGTAAGTTAATAACTCTGAAATATAATAATGCATAAAAAATTCTAACTGTGTGTAAATAAATACTAAAAAAAAGAGATTAAATTATGTGTATATTCCACTGTATTTTAACCAACCAATTTAACAATTAACCTATTCACTTGATTCTTATTCTTGATTATATAAATGTAGCTGTGAGGGATTTTATTTATATATTAATGAAAAAGAAAAAAGTAGGTAATTCTGTTTAAACTAAATTTGTATGTTACTTGAACATTGATTGCAGAGTTCAAGTAGGAAATATTTTAGTATCTTCTGTTCATTCCAAATGTGTAATCAATTACACAGACCAGTATTCTCCACACTTTTCTCATTTCAGAACTTTTTTCCAAGTTTCAAAATGTTTAAGAAACACAGTTTGGGTTTTTTAATTATAATAATGATAACACAGACAAATTAAACAAAACAAAAATTCAGTCCCATTTTTTAATACCGTGTCTAATAAAAGAAATGTTTTCAGTTTTTATTTTTACAAAGAAAAGAGATATAAATATAATTAAATGAAAAAATAACTATAATATTTATAGAAAAGTGCTAATTAGTTTTCAATGACTCTGGTGTGTCTTTAAATTACAAATTCTTTTAATGTTAAGCTAGAAACTGAATTTTCTCAGTAGATACACTATCAAGTCAATTTCTATATCTGGATTTTGTTGCAGCATAATGTGAACTTGCCTTGCAAAACTATGTTGTTAATTAAAAAAAAAAAGTCCATAGAAAATTAACTGTTTTCAGATATTAAAAGTAAAATTGAAACAATTCTTTACTTTGGAGCACAAAATAGAAATGTGTTAATGCATTCTGATGCATTTTGTTGGAAGCATCAGCTATCAGGTGTCATGCTACCTTACTAAATTTACTGTGTATGGGATTTAAACCACTTTGTTTTATCTGTTTTCTCTTTAAAATTTTTAAGAATTGTTTTAAATTGTGTGAAATACATAGAAACAGACAATGCTACACTGTTTTCCAACCATTAATTTCATATTTTTTCATGGAACATGTAGTGACTGTTTATGAAACACCATAGTTGCATGGAATGCAGTTTGGGAAATGCTGAATTAGATAATTGAATTGGATTGGATTGAATCTTCTTGGATTGAATTATCTAAAATTTTTAGCATTAATTAGCTGAATAGAAATAGAGCTATGAGAGTTTTATTTATTTATTTTAATGAAGCTAAAAGACGTCTGTGTATATATGTTTAAAACAATTGCCTTGGTTTGGCGACTGTTCAGAAAAATAATTCATTGTTTATGCCAAATTTTGAAATAGAAACAATACTTTTTTAACCATAAAAATTTTCCTTTTGCATTCCAGAATTCAGTGTTAATAAAATACCTGAGCAATAAAGGAAAATAGTTGCTTTCTTAGTTTTACTTTTGATTTATACTTCCTAAATTAACAGGGCTAATTTAGGAAATTTTTAAGTCTATACATGCTGTGCTTAAAAAAGGTTCACCAGTTCCTTCCTAAATTGAAGCTACAAAAGAACACAGCGCAAACTATAAACACAGCATCATTACTACTAATGCTACATGTTATATATCTTAGTGCAGAAAAATCTTTGTGCATTCTTTGCAGTGAGTTTTTTACTGAAGATATGATAAAAGTTTTTGTAGATGTTTGAGGTTTCTGTGGTAAAACAGCCAAATTTTTAAAAACTGTTTTAGCTTATAAATGCGATCAGCTTATGAGACTTCACTGAATTTTGAAAAATAAGGATTAGGGACCTCTTAGCCAGAGTTAATACCTATTATTGATATGCATTGGAGAAATAAAGTGATGCAGTTCTTGGACCATTAATTGTTTTATTTTTGATTAATCATAGGCTATGGTTAATGTGCATATATGCATATAGGCTTGCATATTATAACATAAAACTTTAAGAGGCTTTTTGGAGAATGCTGTTTTTAGTATCTTGTTTGTTTAATATCTTTTATACATTTATACTTTCAATTGTCTTTTAATACCTTCCAATATTTTTTTTTTTTTTTTTACATTTGTGTAAGTAATTTGTTTTGAATAAGTATTATATGTACACCCTTATACTTACAGAATCCTCAAAATTCACTCATAAAAGGGAGACAGCATTGTCCTAGCTTTAATATTGATGATGAAATTTTGTTGCCAAATGGTGTGCGCAAAGAAATATCCATAGGTGTCAAAAACTTATTAACACCCTTGGTATGTGTTATTTTCTTTCTATTTAGGTTTTAAACTTTGGATTAAAGATAGCTATATTTAATTTTTGTGCAAAATTTGTACCATTTTATTCAAACTGTATAGAGGTAATATCTAGTCACTTGTTAGTTAAAATCAGCACTGTGTACAACTGCTATTGGGATTGACATGCTAATAAGTTTGTTACAACATGTTTATAATATTATTTAAAATCTTAAAATACCTGCAGAAGATTTCTAAAGTTTAAATAAAATATCTGATATGGACACCACATGACTTCCTTATATGAACTATTAAATCATACACATTTTTTGCTGCTCTTCATTTAAACTTATTTACTTGAATTTCATTTGAGATAGATTTCTCATTCAATTCTCATTTTGCAGCAAGGCAAAAACACATAAATTTTTTTTTTTTTTTTAATTTTTTTTTTACATCTAAAGTGGACTTTTGCCCATTCAGCATTGGCCCTTCCTAAGGCAAGAAGTGGTGGCCATTTTATTGTAGGCAAATATTAGACAGCCACTGTTGCCTCCTATGAAGGGGAAAGACAGTTACAACCATGCCTTCTCCGAGATTTGAACATGGGCTTTTTGGTACCACAGTAACCTTCCCTAACCACTATAGCATCTGGGTAACAATACATAAAAAACTCAAATCATTTTCATTAATAATTATTAAATACAGAAAAACCTAAAACACCAAATACAGTTTAAAAAAATTTTTACAATTTTACAATTTGGCATAGAATTAAAGCTTCTATGCCAAAACAGGCAATTTGACCCAAGGGCAAGAAGGCCAAATTTTCAGTGCACAAAATTGAATGTTAAAGTCCCATTCGGCAAACAGGCACTGAAGTTGCTGCACCAGCTGACTTAAATCACTATTCTACTAGTTCTAAATGTAAACACTTAAAGTTTTAAATCATTGTAATTATACAACTATTGCTTGCAGGTTAACTAAAGACATAAAAACCTTAACTAGAATGTAATTCAATCATTTTTAAAGCAAAAATGCATAGTTTACCATTATATCAAAAAATGAATACTGAGCTCACTGGGCCAGGTTTGAAACCCATCAACTGCAAGATGTGGGATAATTGTTTTTTTGTAAATTTCCTTCTTGTTAATGTTATCTTAATTATGTATATGTCCTTCTTATTCTTCCAGAACATTTCGAGTCTGGAATGTTCCAGCATGTTCTCCAGCTGTATATAAGTAGTTCTTAATTCAGTTTGAGTTAATAAAAAGTCTTGAGTTTAGATTTGAGTACTTACCTGTTCATTTGTACGATCCCTTCATCAATGCAAAAATATTTATATAATAAATTAATAGGAAATATAAAAAAATTATCTCCTAGAAAAATCTGAGTGAAATTTAGAATGTAAATGTGCACTATTGTAAAAATAACTGGCAATTTAGAAATCTGATGTACACTAATGTTTGAACTAATTAATTAGAATTTATAAATAAATACACTGGAATGTTAATTAAAAAGTAAAACTGAAGAATAAAACAAGGTAATTATTGCTGATTCCACAAAAAAATCCTGACTTATCAAGTGGAAATGGAACCTCTCCATACAACTATCAACAATTCATAAAAAGTTCATTTTGTCATTTCGCATAGCTGAACAAATTTCAATTCAATTTTACATTTCTATTCAATTTTAGAATATCCAAATTAGTTCAGTTATCAGTTCCCCTTGAACCATCACGATCTTTCTATGGATTCAGTAATAATTTTCTTTTTTTATTCTTCTGTTTTATTTTTTTATTGACATTCCAGTGTATTTATTTATAAATTCCAAATAATTATCACCACAATAGTGCACATTTGCATTCTAAATTTGATTTCAAGTTTCAAAAGAGATAACTTCCTTTATATTTTCTATTACTTTATTAAATTAAGTATTATCTTTACAGTATTTATGCAGGATTTTACTTTTTAGTTCTTTTGAATAAATTTTTAAATTCACTAGTTTTAAAGTTTTTTTTTTTTTTTTTTTTTTTTTTTTTTCTGTACACATATACAAACACACACACACATATATACACATACATACAAACATGCACATTTGGTGCAGCCAATTGCAGTGCAAAAGGAAGGTGCACAACTACATATTCTAGCAGTCCTATATACAAAATTACAATGTTTTATGGCTACTCATTTTTGAGTTATACAAGATGTGCACATACATACTTATGTACATAAGTACATACATTATACTTTTCTGAATCCATTTTACAATCAATTTGGAAAAAGTTCTTTGTTCTGTCTATATGTACAAATATCATGCAAAACAATCATTCAGATAGATTCGAGAGCAATCAAAATGGATATTTTCTTTGAAATATGATACCTGAAATTTTTTGTGATTGCAATACTTCCTTTACGTCATGCAAGGAAGTAAAAATATTCTTTAATATCTTTCCAGAATTGCGACTTAAATAAAATTTCATCTTCTGAATGTTTGTCATATTTTTATTAAAAATTGGATGAGATTCATTAAGAATTTAAGCATTATTAAGAATTTTACTAAAAACTCATTAAAAATTAAAGGATTGAATAGTTTTTGAATTATTTAAATCTCTCTCCTTTTTTTAGTATATTATATATATATATATAACATATATATATATATATACTATAAAAAACAATATATAAAAAAATATACTAAAAATATATACTATACTAAAAACAATATACTAAAATACATATATATTACATATATATAAATAATGCATATATATTACATATATATAAATAATAAAAATTATTTTAACATATATATTACACATATACAAAAAATATTACAAAAAATAACATATATATTACATATATATAATAAAAATACATATATATAGATATATATCTTTTTTTTTTTTGTATTAAATGAAAAAAAATATGGGATTTACAGATTTTTTTTAACTTGAATTTATAGATAATATAGCTTTTTTCTAAAAAAAATCAAATAATTAGAAATTTGACATCAATAGTTATTTTATGAGAATTCTGAAATTCTTTTGTTCAGATTTTTTCAGTTTTTAATTTCTCATATCTTATTTACTTTCCTTAATTATACTGAGTTTATTTTCAATTAAGTTAACTATTCTTCTAAAAGCTTTGAATTTTTTTATCTATTCTGAGAAATTAGAAAAGATAATTAAAGTAAAGTAAAGATACTGAATACTTTTTAAGAATTCAAAATGGGTTTGCTTCATATATTACTTATTCTTTATTACAAATATTACTATTTTATTTAATAGGAAGGATTTCAGTGCGTTGTTGAAATAGAAGGTGCTAAAGAAAGAGTTTTTGCACGAGTGAGAGATAATACTGTAATTTGTGCAGAGAATATGGTAAATATAATTTCATTTAAATGACTGAATTATTGAATTGTTGTGTGTGTGTCTGTCATATAATATATATATATTTGTGTGTCTGTCATATAATATATATATATATTCACTTTTTACAGTATTCTTATGAAGCTGAAATTGGGCAAGTGCAAGCATCTTTGACTGTGTTATGGAATGGAGACACATTTATAGACAAAACTAATGGTAAAATTAATATTATTATAATTAGCAATAAAATATTATATTTTTTTATTAAAAACCTGCTCAAGTAGTTTAGAAGAAATATCTAAAATTTGTTTGCAGAAAGTAAAATTAAGAAATATATGAGTGCTATAAATATTATGAATATGTAGATCAGTTAAGAATAAATTGTGTAAAAGAAAATTGCTCTGAAATTTTAAGGACAGCTAATTGAAAAATGTGATTTAAAAAAAATAAAAGTGACAGGCATAAAAAAGCACACCAATGCATTTGTTACATTTGAATTTTTTGAGTTGAAGCCAGCATATTTTTGAATTTATGGTGTTACCAGCATGGTATAGAATGCCTAGGTAATGTATATAATGGTGAAAACTGAACATCAACATATGAAGCAATTAATTTCTATGCAGACTAAAAAGAAATATTGGCAAAGTATAAAATATTTCACATTTCTAATTTCTGTTTACATTTCTAATGGTTTCATATGATTCATAACATCTGATGGTCACCTCAGACAAAGAATTTCCCATTTTGCAGAAGTAAATAATGGGCTCTCTTGAATTTGTATAGCAAAGATTCTAGTCCAATGGTAGACATAAACTATGAGTGGTGACCTCAAATTTGATCGTAAAGTGGATAAAATTCCTAAAAAATCTGAACTGATGGTATGTAGCTTGCTGATTAGGTTTTTTTTTTTTTTTTTTTTTAAATTTTGCATTTTTATGGGGTTGCAGTGCCATAAGATTTGAATGCCACTACTCTAGCCTAATCTGTGCTCTATGAAAATGGAAGAGCAAGCATCTGAGAATAAATCATGGCGAATTGTCTAAAATGTGAGTGCCAATGCTTTTAAAAAAAAGTATTAACCAAAACTACTTATCAGAAGTTAGTGATGTGAAAAGACTAAGATGGACTACAAGAAAGGAACCACGAGACAAGATGTCCTATACTTCATTTTGTATTTCTTCTATTTTCACGTCATTTGAGTAAAATTCTTTCTATGACTGTCTTTCAACACTTTGCCTAATACTTGCTTTTCATACATTGCCAGTAACAGTGGCATTAAATGCAATAAGATATTTATCACATCAAATGTGGACCACCCAAAAATATTATTTTAAGGAAAACTTGATGCATTAAGGTTATTTCAGCAGAGCAACTAGTCCTTATATCCATAGTAATATTTTTTTATTTTATCTAGTGTATTATCTGAGAAATTTTATATTGATCTGAACCAAATTATCAACTTCTAGGCCGGCGGGGGGGTAAAAATACAGATTTTAGCCAGTAAATCTTAGAGAACATGAATATTTATTGTAGTTAAAACTTTGTCTTTGGGTTCACCAAACTGAATTATTTCCACATACCTGAGTGAATACATTCAAGATTTTTTTTAATATGAATACAACAGAATATATCCACTACAGTTTTAAACTAAAGTAAAGAAGTTAATAGAGTTTGAGTTGAAATAAAAAAATTAAAAAATCAGCAGGAAAAGGCCATTTTCTAAATTTTCATTGATGCATTAAAAGGTTTATGCAAATTTTTATTTATGTTCTCAGAAGAACTGGTCAGTTTCTGAGACAAATGTCTTAAAGAGATTATCACGAGGGATTTCAACATATTTACATCAATATTTTTTTAATATTCCTGCATTACATCAATATTTGATTATTTTAGTTAAAATGTATCAAATAACATGTTTCCTATGCAGGATCTATTCATCCATTAAGTGGTTCAGTGGTTATTATGTCAAACTTTCAGTATTAATCACAATCAATAATAATTAAATTAATTTACTTAACAATCCATGTATCACAATCTGATAATCTACATGTCTCCTCTGTCATGTCTCACATCCATCTGCATGAACACACACTGTAGTGCTAGCCATGGGCAGGTATATCTATAATATTTTATTCACTAAAAAAATTTTAGCTTAAGAAATCAAGTTTGTATAATCAGAAATAAATATATCAGTGTAATAGTTTATTTTATATTCTTTTGGTAAAAATGTAAATATATTTTTCACTGCACTACTATTGATTTGGTATTTAGTTGCTACTTTTTTAATCTTAGTAACACTTTACAAATGTCATCTTCTGGGAAGCCATGGTGGCCGTGCAGATTGTTCATTATGTATGACTAGAGAAAGAAAATATCAATGTGCTTGGTGTGGCACATCATGTAGTTACAGTGAAAGCTGTGTAGATCCGGTAGCTACATCCTGTCCACCTCCTCATATTGACTGGGTATATTTTTGTTCGTTGTAATTAAATATATTTAATGTGTCTTTCACTCAAATTTGTTTACTGTAGTATTTTCCATGTGATATCAAATAATTATTAATATGCATAGGAACTTAGGTTAACCTTAACTTCCATGTGAATAAAATTAACATCTAGTTTTATAGATGTCATTGAAAAGTTTTAAATTATATATTAATCCACCAGTAGTGAAAAATTTCTGTGCTTCACCAATTAAAAAAAATTCACTGTCTTTTAAATTGTTCACTTTCAGATACATCCACTAAGTGGTCCATTAGAAGGTGGTACTCTTGTGACCATTGAAGGCAGTAATTTGGGTTCAAGTGAAGAGGAAATACAAGATAAAGTTACTATAGGTGGCATTCCTTGTATTCCTGTAGAATATAGTATCTCAGTCAGGTCAGTGGAGTGTTTTTTCCCCCTTTTATTTCTTTTTTAAAAAAATAAAATAATTATCATCAGTTATTCTTTTAATGAATTTTCAAACAATTAAAACATTGCTGTTAAAGCTTATGTTATATATATATATATGTATATATATCAAGCAAGGTAGTAATTACAATTTTGAAAAACTAATTTTGATCTAGAAAACATCTTATGCAATATGCTGCAAAATAAGTAAAATATAAAAAAATGTAGTAAGCTCGCATAAAAGTTACCAAGAACTGTTGCTCCAAAAATTTCAACATGTTTTTACATGTTTAATGGTTTGATTTTCATATGTATTAATTTTTTAAAACGTGTTGAACTTTTTGGAGCAACAGCTCTTGGTAACTTTTATGCGAGCTTATTACATATTATATATGATATATATATATATATATATATATATATATATATATATATATATGTGTGTGTGTGTATATATATATGTCTGAAGTCTGTGTTTTAAGAGGTTTTCTGATTATATTCCTTAAAAATGATTGTCTTTATAATTTAAAACACATATAATTAGCAGTGTAATAATAAAATACATTTATTGAATGTACTATAAATGTGATTTAATTTTTATTTTATAAACAGAATTGTTTGCCGCACTGGTGTTAACTTGAGCGGTCCTATGCCAGCAGTTGTGATTGTGGGAAATAGAGCAGGTGTTACAAGAGCTCAAGAAAAGTTTCATTATAAGGTAAGAACATATGAAACAAGATAAGTTAATTTATTTTCTATTAATACATTAATCATTTTTCAGAAATGATAGTTTTCCTGAGCATAAAAAATATCTTAGATGCCACTGAATTTAAAGTAATACTATTTGGAATGTCTGTTTTAAATGAGAGCTGTAGTAAATAGTAATGATGTACTTTTGTTCATTGTTTTTAGTTTGCACTGTTTTTAGTTCAGTTTTCATTTTAATGTTGTGTCTTTCTGCTTTGACCTTTAATTCTCTCCAGATATGTTCGAATGAGTTTAAATCTGATGACTGAGGTGTTGGTATCAGTATTTGTGGACAAATATAGATACATTAAAGGTGAATGTTAAGGATCATGTATTTAGGATCATTATAGTGATAAAAAGAAATGTTTCCAATATCCAAATTTTAGGAGGATAATTTTAAATTATACATTTAAATATTTAAGTAAAGAACATGGTTCATTATACCATCAATTAAATACTAAATTACCTAATCCTGATGGCTGACATATACCCCACACTAGGACACTTGCACAGCCAAGCTTTACTGTTCCAACCAAGGTCTTGGGATTCAGTTCCTCGTTTTTTTATTCTCTGTACAATTATATCCCCATCAGAACTAAAAGTGTTAAATTTATTTTCATCTGCAAATAAGACATGATTAAAATATGCTTTAGGCTTATTTACCATTTATTTTGCGAAGGAAAACCTAAGTTTTCTATTTTTTACACTTACAAAAAAGTTTCTTTAAGTAGAGCACCAATGTAATCCAGCTGATTTGAGAACTCGTTGAATAGTTTCAAGTGAAACTGAAGTAGAAAATTTTTCACTAAATTCTCTAGAAAGCTTTCCAGCATGCAAAAATAAATTTTTTATAAATCTTCTAACTATAAATCTCTTATTACTGAGTAAACTTTGCCGGATGACCCCTTTTTTACTTTTCTTTTGATTTGATTTTCTTCTTAAATTTCTTCTCTGTAACATAAATGTAAAGTTAAAAATATAAATACTGATTAATTTTCAAAATTCTGTATATATAAAATATCAATAGAATGTTATTTCATAATTAGAATTTAGGTGACTTTAAAAATGCTTTTAAATCAAAATATATTACTTATGCTGTTAAAACTTTTATATGAACAATAATAATTAATAATTAGCAATATACAAATTCAGAAGTCAAACAACAAAAATCAGCGCTATAACCCTGATTTTTGTTGTTTGACTTCTAAATTAGTATTTATTCGGCGTGTTATTGTGTCTTAATTAAGCAATATACAATTAATATATTTTTGATAGTAATATAGAATTATGTAAAACAGTTATCTGTAAAAATATTGTCGTTATATTAAATTTAGATACTAATTTATCATTGTAATATATATTCTCTTAACATATTCTGATTCTCCTATGCATTCTAGGCTGTTGAACTGACTGGGGTTTATCCTAATGTTGGTCCACAGTCTGGAGGTACTAGGTTATATCTGAAAGGCTCTAATTTAAACATTGGCAGTCAGGTTGAAGTCATGTTGGATGATCTTCCATGTAGAGTTGAAAGGTGATTATACATTATAAAATTATATTTATTAAAGCATTTATTTGTAATAAAGAGTGATTAAAGTTCAATAATTTAATATTAATTGCAGGTCATTAGCAAGTAGCAGCCAAATAAGTTGTCGAACAACCCGCTCTCCTGTGCCTTCTTATGTTGTATCTCAATTAATACTTAGAATAGATGGTGCTAATATTACTTATGCCAATCCTTTTACATATACTTCAGATCCTACACTGCGATATATTCATCCTTTAAAGAGTTTTATGAGGTATGTATTTAAAATTTTATTTAACAAGAAAATACTTTCCAAAAGAACTACTTTAATAAATACAAAGCTCGCATCATATTGGTATTGTCAAAGTAATTTTTGATGAAAGAGAGTGTGCCATTTGATTTAATTATTTTAATCTCTTCTATTGCTTAAAGTCCTATTTTATTTTATAATTACACTACTTTTCATTATTGATAAGAGAATATTATGGATAAATAATTTTTATTTGTATATGTGTAAAGCTGAAGAAGACATCTCTAGTTACCTAAAAGTAAAAAAAAATATAATAAACTGGCTTAATTTTTTTGAATAGTTAGTAATTTCTTGGTTGATAGTTAACATGTTGCTTGTTTCTAATTGTTTTAGAAATGCTGAAACAAAGGCTTTTGATTCTTTCGAACTATTTTAAATTTAGTTTTGTACCTTTCAGTATTTTGACAACATTGAGGACACTGATGCTATTTTTAATTTTTCTCTTTTTCTACATTCTTTAATTCTTATTGCAGCATTGATTCATGATTAATTGTGTTTTCCTCTGTTTTTTCAGTGGTGGTCGCTTTGTCAAAGTTATGGGCACAAATCTGACTTCAGTTCAGCAACCTAGAATGGTGGTTTTTAATGAACATAACCTGGTTAATGAAACGGTGTGTTTAATTCCATCTTAAATCTAGCTGTGCTTTCTTTATTTTATTTTCAAATAATTAAGTGGAATACAACCCTAAGTAATAAATAAGAAAGGAATGACAGATAGCATATATATTTATGTAAATTAGTGAAGTTAAGTATTTCAAATAATATTAACCATTTTGAGAGATATTATTTTAAATAATATTAACTATTATGAGAGATGATACATTTTGAGAGATATTATTCTTAGTATTGATTTTGTATTGTTTACATTTATGATATTTTCAGCATGTATCAATTTGATTATAAAATTAATGAACATGCTTCACTTCTGTTATTTTTGGGAATGCACAATACTTTTCATCTATTTCCCATAACAAGTGATAAAAGTCATGTGTTTGTCTAAATAAGGGTCACAGCAGTTATAATTTACTTTTTTGAAGAAATTTAAGCCAGCATATTTATGTAAAAATAAGATAACATTGTTAATTCTTTAAAAGTCACTTTATTTTCAGTTTAGAAGATTTTAGTTTATGTATATTAATCTAATAGTAAATTTAATTTTTAAAAGTAAATTGTTAGCAATTAACACACAGACCTGTTTTATTTTCTCATGTAGGTATGTCAAGTTACCAATGCATCAACCATGTTGTGCCCTTCTCCAGCTGTTCGTCCAGATTCTCTGAAGTTACATTACAAAAGTCAACATTGGCGCAGCTATGATGAAATGCGTCTCAAAATAGGTTTTGTCATGGATGATGTACAACCTGTTCGTGAAATGCAAAACTATTTTCCCAGTTTGCCTAATGAGATAATTTATGTTCCTGATCCTAAATTTTATGTTCTTAGTAGTAAAGATGGTGTTAAACTATACAAAGGCGAATCTTTAGTCATTGAGGTATATATGTGTTTTGTTTTTCTTAATATTTCATAGGTCAAAATTTTAATAAACAGATGGTGCGTGACTTGCCTACTACAACCCAATGCTGCCAGTCCGGTAACTCATAGCAAAGAAAAGCAAAATAATGTTTATTGTTAATATTATTAGCGATTTGTTTTTGTTATCATAGTTACTTGTCCAGCTACGCTTTATTTATCATTGTTCAAAACAGCTTATTATACAAATTAAATTATTTTATTAAAAGCAGCATGTAATTATCTGTCTCAAAAATTGTACTATCATAATTGGTGACCCGGATTTATTACAAATAGCAACCTTCAATGTTGCATGAATATGAAGTTTGTATTTCAAAATTCTGAGCAACAGTAAGTTATCCAGTGTGATGAGATGCAAGTAAGACATTTCACCTGTGATTTCAAGTGTTGTGCCGCATTCCGGTGAGTCAACATATTTCTGACATGATTTTAGCAGATATTTGTATCATCTGCTGAATTTGAGCCCCCCAATTTCTCTGATTTAAAGTACCAAGAAACTGTGTCACTGTATACATATTGATTATTTTTCTTTACATATTATTGTGCATACAGTCAAAAGTCGTTAATTCGGACACCCATAATCCGGAATGATCTATAATCTGAACCTCAAAGCTAAAAACTTTCTGCGCATGTGCCGCGTTGACACATGCGCATAGGCGTTTACGCGTGCGCGTAAGACCTTTACGCGCACGTGCATATGTGTGCAGAATACGTTTTCGCGTGCGTGTTTAGCGTACAACGGACGGTGTAAGCTAAAATTATACAAATTATCTATTTCAGTTAATGTTGATGATTGCGTTATTCCTTAATCTTTGAATTGGATGCAGCTTATTATTTTTTGCAGACTGTAAGAGCAATTTTATAAAAGTAAACTTGAACTTTCAATTATGTCAATTTCTGATTCTGGAACTCCCAAAGGATCTACAAATAGAAAGTATGTCTCGATGTCCGTCAAACAAAAAGTGGAATTGCTGCAAAAAATGGATAAAGACATGAAGAAGGTGACAGAGAGGTTAGTGAATACGAAAAAATTTCGATTGACAAGTTAGTCGGTATTCTCGGCACAGAAATTACGGGACTTAAACAGCAGAGCTTTTTAACTGAACAAGAAATTATGTCTGTTTATAGAATTAAAGAGAAAGTATTATCACATAAAACGAAACAACTTACATTGAAAGAAATGTTTAATAAAGTAAACAAATAAATATTAAGCTTCTTTTTTTGTAAATTTTGATACCCTTTAGATCATAATTGTTATTTAGTTCCTAAAATACGATTTCATATTTTTAATTTTAGAATTTGTGCATGCCATCTTACGAGATTTAAACTGATGATCTATAATCCGGAAAAATCGATAATCCGGAATCGCCAAAGTCCCGACGAGTCCGGATTAACGACTTTTGACTGTATTTGATTGATCTAAAATGGTTGATACTGATGGTGCTTCACAATTAGTGCGAGTGGCAGTTAAGCCACCGCCTTTTTGTCGCCGGGATCCATCGTTATGGTTCATTAAATTGAGTCACATTACAGCCGACGAAACTCAATTTTATACAGCGATTGCTGTGTTAGAATTAGAGGTATTGCAATCAGCTCGTGAAATAATTTTGAGTATACCGGCAACTGACAAATACAAATCTTTAAAAAAAAAAAATTAATTGCTGTCTAAAATGTCAGAATTAGCTGCCAGTAACCTAATGGATAACATTCTTAAAACATTATGGATGAATAGCCCACTAAAAGCGTTACCACATACGATATTTGTTGCCGGAACAATAGGTTTGGTACAACAGTTCTGAGAAACGCTCTTTGGTGAAATAGGGTTACCATCTTCACTTGGTAAACAGGCTGAAATCCAAACAAGAATCAGTTATCGCTCAGATTGGCGAAAGTGACGTTTGCTTCTTCCGTGTTGTTTTGTATCGCTCACACTCTTTTCGTTTTAAACTTTATTGTTAGTAATGGAAGATAATAGAAAGGTGATTGCTGTCAAGTTAATCACTTTGATCTCCACTCTGGCACTTTAAGTAATAGATAAACACACTTCTGGTTATAGCAATCAATTACATCAGTAATAGCCAAATTCTGTATACACTGAGAATAGTTTAAAAACCTGTGCTGGATAAGTTTATTTATCAAACATCACTTATGTGTATTTTCTGTTGTCTGCATTTCAATGAAAATTTGATGGCTCACTCGAAAATTTGTGACCTGGTGAAAGCATTTTCTTGACTAACTTTATGGCTCATAATTACTGTTCTGTCCATTCAAACAAACAGACAAAAAAAAAAAAAAAAAAAAAAAAAAAAAGACTTTCTATGACAAAATTCTATATGGATGATATTTACATCCTCACAGCCAGCAGGTACTATTCAGCAAAATGAAGATCAAATAAAGCATGTGAATACAATTAAACATGTGCAAGTTGTTTACTGTCCCATAGAACACTCAGTAATCTACCTAAAACACACTAATTATACCAACTCTAGAAATAAGGTGTGCACATCATGAGTTTGTTTTATGTGATTACGGCAAAGCCTCGAGGGATATCTGCCTAACTTGAGGGATCCCTTTGTAGGAGATTTTTTTTTAAACTGGCTCGTATACTAGTTACAAATGGGAAAAAACAAGAAAAACGCCCATGTAGCCAGCCCGTTCGCGGCATTCTAACCAAAGAGAGAACTACCAGTGTTCAACGATGCTTCGGCCACTAGTAGGCCCGTGCACTTAATTGGAAAGTACAATTCATTATGTAAAAAGATATGAAGGTGATAATCAGTTGTGCACTGTTTTAAGTAATCAAATGTTATAAATGCACAGCTGTTACATTTCTTATTATTTATTAGTCATATTTATATTAGGTAAATCATACATATGATATAATTATGAATTAACCCAATAACAAAATGTGTACACTCTTTAGTACTCAAATGCTCATTAATATTTTTCAATTGATTATTACATATCCATAATAATTTGCAAAGAACTGATGACTACAGTTGCTGCCAATTACATGATCGTTATATGAATTAAAAGTAACTTCAAATAAACTTTTTGGCTATGTTCATTTTTGTATTCATACATACACATCTAATAAATCATATACTTACATACAGATAGAGAGATGTGATGGTTTAGAAATTGTTAATATATATTTATTAGTATTAATATAATGAATAAGATTTATATTAATGAATGTATCTACAAATGTTTTCATCATGAATAATAATAAATCTATAAATTCCCAATGTTTCAATATGTAGCATTTACAATAAAAGTATAGTTTCTAATGTATTTATAATCCAAAAGTATTTCATTAATAACATGAAAATAATAGACAAATTTAATGAGTATTCTCATTATTACATAAGCTATGCTTTTTGTTTTTTATGCATCATTATGCTGTTTAAAATGTGTCACTGATTATGCTATTAACAATTTAAAAGATAAGTAATTAGGAGAAAAGACGCGCATATACAAACAGATTTAAAAAAATTATTCAACTTAAATTTAAGAAATAAAATTCTATTATATAAGTGATTATATATGATCAGCACGAAATACGACAAATTTGGCGAACTTTTAGCGACGAACAATTGGTAAACAAATTCGAACTGCAAGAACGTTGTAAAATACTGTCAACTCTGAAATTTCCACGATTATATATTTAATGAATATATAAACATTTTAAAAATGACTCAGGCAGTTATATTATTACAACAAAACAGCAATAATTAAATTGGCCTCTATTTCCACTGTCTATGACTTCACAGTGAGAGCCATCGTCATATTGAAAGTTACCCGTGATCCTTCAGAAGCAGAACTTTTGTCTGATTGGTTGAAAGTTCGAGGAACACGTCTACAGCTGGAACATTTTCGGGAAAGTTTTAAAATGTTGCTCATAGCCGGGACATGTTCCTCCTAGCTAGATGAAACAATTCTCGGAAGCCTGGCGCTTAAAGCCGTGCTACTAGAATCTCGTTTCTCGGAATTGTCCCGGGTAAGCGCGAGCGTCCATAGAAGTGATAGCACCACCTTATAAAAGGCCTCCTTCAGGTATTTGTTTTTACCGGCCAAATGTGGAAACAAGGGCCCCCCACCCTGTCATTATAATGATCAGGGAAACGAGAAGGGCAGTCGCTCGAAGTCAGGAACGACAGCGGTCGAAATTTTGCACGCCTTTAGTCATCGATAAGAATTCAGGCTTAAGGTTTCTTGTAGACACTGGGGCTGAAGTTTCTGTTGTTTCACGACATTTTCACGAACAAAAGCGCCTTACCAAGTTACAACTTTATGCAGCAAATGGAACTCCTACTCAAACTTTTGGTTATTTCCGAACGCAAGCACGATGTATTACATTATATTGAAACTACTGGACCTCCAATTGCCTCTAAACCAAGGCGCTTGCCTCTGGACAAGCTCAAATCTGCCAAAGAGGAATTTCAATACATGATGGAACAGGGAATCTTCTGTCCTTCAAAAAGTTCATAGGCCAGTCCGCTCCATCTAATTCGGAAATGAAATGGTAACTGGCTCCCGAGTGGCGATTATCGCTGGTTAAATGCAGCTACAATTCCTACCCAGTCCCACAAATTCAAGACTGTTATAAAATTAACAAATAGAGTGATGGCTAATTGAATTTTGGACTTTATTAACAAAAAAGTAAAGTGAACTTACGTACGTCTTATTTTTTACATGACAACTTTTAGAATGACGAAAATAATAGTGATGCCAGATGCATAAAACATAATAAAACAATGATGCCATTGAAACTGCACATAATATCAATTAAATGCTCGATTCTCAACAGCCTCCTTCAAGCATGAAAATAGTCATTGTTCATATCGATTAATCTTTACTTATTGACTGTTTTTACACCAATCAACTTCTGGAAATGAAACTGAGGTCCTGGAAGCGCCTTCGTCAGAATGTCTGCTCATTGTTCATTACTTTTGACATAAACTAATTGAAAACGTCTCTTTCGAGAACTCATCTTGCACTAACTTGTACCTTTGGTCAATGTGCTTTGTGCGTGCGTGTGAACATTGGATTTTTGATGTACTTGATAGTACTCTGATTATCAATTTGTAGGACAGGTAGGCAATGAGACATTATTAGCTGTCTCATTGAACAAGCTCTTTCAACCATGTCAGGTCTTTTGTGGCATCAGCTGCTGCCATTTTCTCTACCTCTGTCATTGAATTGGATATGGCCTCCTGTAGCTTTTCGCCACGTAATTGCACCTCCACCATAGAAAGAAATAACACCTGTACAAGACCTGCGTGTTTCTGCACAGCTGTTGTTATCTGCATCTCTAAACAACATCAAACTTCTATCATCTTCATTATTGTACACAATATCGTGTTCTATGGTATTGCGAAGGTACCTTAATGTTGTTTGTACGATTTCCCAATCAATCTCTGTAGGATAGTTCAGCTTTCGAGACATCAAACTCACTGCGTAAGCATTATCTGGTACGGGTGCCCATCGCCAAGTACAGTACAGCAAACTGCCAACTACTGATCAGTATGGAATTTCACTGCTGAGAGGCTTCGCCTCCTTGATCTTGATCATGCCATGTCGTCGTTCGGTTGACCATAGTTGACCTTGAAGCTCGACTTCTTTACTGGGATGTGTGATGTCTTAGCATCTCCATATCTCTCTAATATCTTTCTTGTAAATGCTTCTTGGTGCAGGAAGAGTGAGCCGTCTTTCAAACGTTCAACTTATAAAGCAAGGAAACAATTTAACGTCGTTACTCGAATGTTAAAATGTTGCTTGAGCTCGTCCATAAATATGAAGAATGCTGCTTTGTCCTGAACAGCGACAATGCCATCATCAACATAAATCACCATCTGCACAGGGGCGTAGCTAGAGGGGGGCAAGGGGGGCATTTGTCCCCGGGCGCAGAATCCAAGGGGTGCCAAACTGATGTTACAATATTTTAGAATAAAATGTCTTCCATCCTTGGGAAGCAGTAGGAGGCGCAAAATCTTCAGTTGTTCCTGGGCGCTGAAAACCCTAGCTACGACTCTGCATTAGCATCTTAATCCATAATCATTTCGTATAAACAGGCATTTGTCGGACTTACTTTGTATCATGCCATGTATCTTCAGCACATGATCTTCTACCTTCAGTGGTTTTAATGGTCTTGCATTCCTATCATAATAACTTTTTTGTAAGTTTGTGTCTTCAGTAAATGTTTTTTTTTTTTTTTTTTTTTTTTTTTTTTGTCTTCATATGTTTAGTTTGGATGAAATTTTCTTTTATAGGCATCAATCCATTTACTTTTCTCCCAAACATCAATTCTGAAGGTGACTTAATTTCATCAGAAATAGGAGATTATAATATTCCAATAATACTAAATAAGAATCATGGTTGTCAACTACAGCTTTTTCTAACATTCGCTTGACAGTCTGAATATGTCTTTCACCCATTCCATTAGATTGTGGGTAATTTGGACTTGAAGTTCTGGTTTCAAAATTCCATCTTCTTGCAAATTCTTTAAATTTCCTGCAACTATATTGTGGACAAAGGACCAATATAATATTGGTGTCAGGCCTATGGCCATACTCAGCATTTATGCCTAAATCAAGAAAGATGCTGCAAGTGTGGAGAAACGCACAGAACAAGTAACTGCCCAAAGAAACTGGAAGAGAAGCCAACGTGACTACGTTAGCAGCTATAGAGGTTGCAAAGCATACCAAAAGAAATTCTCCAAACTAGAAGCTAAGACTGAAATCGAAAATGAAAAATGCTTGCCAGCTCTGAGCAATAATGAATTTCTGACCTTATCTAAGCCAGAAGAGGGAGCTACTGAAACTAATCAGAAACATTTATACAGCAAAAAATCAAAGGAACCTAAAAAGAAAAATACTACGAAATCAACTGCATCTCTCAACAAAGCCATAAACTGGATATTAGACGAAAAGATTATCCTGCCTATGGAAAATATTATTCAATTTATTTCAAAAATTCAAGAAGCAAAATCTTCCATGGAGAAACTTATAGCAGGTTTTGAAGCTGTTAAGTTGCTAATTGCATTACTGATGCAGAATAATCACGTGACAAGGAACTCCCCTCTCAGTACAATTTGTGACGAGTAAGAACAGCTCTCAGTTGAAGCAGTGACTGAAAAGGAGACTTCGATTTCCCGGGTTTAACCCCATGACTTTTTTTTCATTTTGAACCCTGATTTTGACTTTGAACTCTGCAACCTGCACGGACTAAAAGGTTTATCATATCTAGCGATGGTCCCTGCTAGATGGGACTTTTCTGAGAAATGAGATTCTGGTAGCATTGGTTTAAAAAGGGAAGCTTCCTAGGGGGGGGGAAACGAAGCGAAGTTCCGCCTAGGCTAAGGAAACGATGTCCCGACCATGCGGGATATTTGGAACTTTGAGTCTATACTGGCCATCAGCAGGAAAACAATATCCTGCTCTTGCCAGTTCCTGATGTACTCCTATGTAGAGCCTGACAGCAAAGAAACCTGAATGGAATTTTCTCTCGTGGAGGTGGAAGTGTGTGGTGAGAAAGAGAAAAAAGAAGCTCCTTGCTGCTGTGCTGGTACTTCTTAGATGGATTCCGCCGAGCAGAGGCTGGAGTGAGGAACTTCGGATGACTTGTGTAGGATAGGTAATTACTTCAGATGAGCACTTAAAATGTTGAAACTTCGCCGAAAATGTAGCATCTGCAGCTCTGTCCCGCGTATAGATCAACCAATTAGATGAAAGTTCTGCTTCTGAAGGATCACGCGATCCTAATCTGAGCGATAATCGATTACTGTTTGGTGTCCAAGTCTTTCTAAAGTGAAAATGGTAACCTAACTAAGTGGTTTTCATGGAAATGTTCTTAAAAATGTTCCTTTTGATGTCCACTCCCGCATTATTGAGTTTCTCCACATTGTCGGATCTCAATGGTGGAAGGTGATTATTCGAGTTCAGATTCAAAGTTCTAACTACGTTCTTACGTAGGATTATTCTCGAGTTTTGATGTAATGGTGCTGATAGTCCGGAGTTTAGATGTAACACACATAATGAAAACATATGTGATAGGGACTTTACATGCCACTTCTTCTTCCATGACCACGAATGCCAAACGTCGATCATGATTTTATTCACGCTTCTAGGTGATAGGCGTACACAAGTACGGTTTACTTTTTTCTACCACAGTGAACTGCATATGGCTAACTTGATTTATTGGTAAGAACTCCACTTAGTTGAGACCAAATAGCGAAAAGATAACAATGACAATGATAGAAAATATATTATGGGCAGTGGCGTAGCTAGGGTGGGGCAAGGGGGGACATCTGTCCCCGGGCGCAGCATCCAAGAGGAGGCAAATTGATGCTACGAAATCTTTTAATGGAATGTTTTCCATTCTTGGTACGCAGAAAGGGGCACAAATTCTTCAGTTGACCCCGGGCGCTGGAAACTCTAGCTACGCCCCTGATTATGGGGGTGGAGATGCGAGGTTCAGGAAAGATACCAAACTTAAAATAATTTGTAATGTGAACTAATGGAAACACTACGACTGAGGCTTTCCGAATATATTCAATACTAATGCGTCTTTTATGCTGAGTGCCAGATTCTCAGATATGCCAAACCATTGGATTTGTAAGACTTTTACTCTACAAACATTGCATCTGTTTCTCAAGTTTAAAAGTTATTTAACTTTCTATATCTATTATAGTATTAAAATTCTAAATTTATGTTTAATATTTACCTTGGAAACTCATGTAAGAAAAAAAATTATATTGCTAATATATTTATTCCATTACACAAAGCCAGCTGATGAATAATATTACATTACTGTAATAACATTACATTTTTAGTATTACTGATATAATTCATTTCAAATAATTTAACATTACTTCCCAATTTTGTAGGGTGAGAATATGAGATTAGCAAGTACTGAAGGTGAAATAAATGTAACTATTGGTACTCGCCCATGCAACTTGACTTCACTAAGCATGACACAACTTGTATGTTTACCGCCTGAAGTACAACCTCCAGGAACTGATGAAGTTGGAAGACGAACCGAAAACAATTTACCGATGGTGGTTGTAAGTAAAAAGTTCATTTTTCAATATCTAAATAAAACTATCATTAAAATATAAAGTAATATATATTATAAAACAAGTTATTTAAGGAACTCTTTTCTGACGTCTTGTAGGTGCGAGCAGGTACCAATTTACGTTATCAAATTGGTTATTTGCGTTATGAAGTTGCAAAAACATATGAGTTTCCTCCAGAAGCTATAGGTGGCATTGCAGCTGGTGGGGCTATACTAATGATTTTAAGTCTGATCATTTTGGCTGCTTTGCGGCATAAAAGTTCTCAGGCAGAAAGAGAATACAAAAGAATACAGTTACAAATGGATACTTTGGAAAATAGTGTACGTTCAGAATGTAAACAAGGTGAGTATTAACTTTTTATCATTTACCATTATCTCATTTGTTTTGTTACTTTTTAAAAAAATTTTGTTTAAATTATTAAAAAGTTCTTAGAAGTTTGTGGAAAGTAAGCTACTGGTAATTTATCATACAGTCAAAAGTCGTTAATTCGGACACCTATAATCCGGACCTCAAAGCTACAAACTTTCTGCGCATGCGTCCTGTTGACGCATGTGCATAGGCGTCTACGAATGCGCGTAAAACCTTTACGGCTGCGCATGCGCATAATACATTTACGCATGCGCGTTTAACGTACAACGGACGGTACAAGCTAAAATTATCTAATTCAGTTAATGTTGCAGATTGCGTTGTTCCTTAATCTTCGAATTGGATCCAGCTTATTATATTTTGCAGACTGTTATAGCAATTTTATAAAAGTAAGCTTGAACTTTCGATTATGTCAAATAGAATTTCCGATGCTAGAGCTCCCAAAGGATCTACAAAGCGAAAGTATGTTTCGATGTCCATCAAACAAAAAGTGGATAAAGGCATATCCTTTGTTTCTCTAACCATTCCGAAATCTGTTTATCAATTTCATGCCGCTCTGCGGCGGGAGGGGGGGGGGGAATGCCACGGCGCGCAATGAATTGGAATTTGATCTGTCAGCAGTATCCTTATCTTCAGGGCAGAGGTTTTTATTTTATTTGGCTTATAATCCCTTACTAAATGTAGTATTTCATCTCGATGTACTCCGTCTTTGATATGATTTAAATCAAATTCCTCGTCATTATAATTCTCTTCCGATAGTGAAGAAAGTGGCCACGGAGGTTATTGAAAACGAAAAAATTTCGATTGACATATTAGTCGGTATTCTCGACACAGCAATTATAGGACTTGAACAGCGGAACTTTGTAACTGAACAAGAAATTATGTCTGTTTATAGAATTAAAGAGAAAAGTATTATCACATAAAACGAAGTAACTTAAACAACTTACATTGAAAGAAATGTTTAATAAAGTAAACAAATAAATATTAAGCTTTTTTTTTTTTTTTGTAAATTTTGATACCCTTTAGATCATAATTGTTCTTTATTTCATAAATTACGGTTTCATATTTTTAATTTTATAATTTCTGCATGCCATCTTACCAGATTTAAACTGATGATCTATAATCCAGAATCGCCGAAGTCCCGACGAGTCCGGATTAACGACTTTTGACTGTAGTATATACAGGGTTATCATAAAAAAACTTCCTTAATATATGAACTCCTGGTGGCTTAATTAATCAAATGAAATTTCAGATATTGTTATTTGAAAGTATGTGCTCGAGATTGTGATGATTTAAAATAATAGAGCTCTCACGGTTATGGTTACAGTGAAAGTACCATAACCATTTTCATATTAAAAGTGTGACCTACTCTTCTGGCTATTTCATTAGTTATTACATAGCTCACATAAATTTATTTCTCATGTTATCTAAATTAAAAGTTTTCCATTACCAGTCCCCACATATGCTAGTCTATTGATCAGAATTTACAGAATTTGATTGTTTGCAAATTAGATGTATATACCACCAAGTTCCCAATTAGAACTTTTTCACTGAAAATATTTTTTGCAGTTTATGATTTAAAATATCTGGTTTATTTGTTGCAATTATTGAAAAACATTTTTTGAGAATACTCGGAAGTATAATAAATACTAGTACTTCACTACGTTCTTAAACTCTACTGGTAGACAATCAAATATTTTTTCAGGCAGATTTTTGTTCAAAATTTATAATTAAAACCGTATTACCACTCAACTAAAATAGGATTTTAATGTGATCTTTAGACAATTGTTAGACAATACAGTCTAAAGTCGTTAATTCGGACACCCATAATCCGGACCTCAAAGCTGCAAACTTTCTGCGAATGCATTGCGCATTGCATTGACGCATGCGCGTAAGACCTTTACGGTGGTGCACGTGCGCAAAATACATTTATGAGTGCGTGTTTAATGTATAACGGATGGTATAAGCTAAGCTAAAATTATATAATTATCTATTTCAGTTAATGTTGCAGATTGCGTTGTTCCTTAATCTTCGAATTGGATCCGGCTTATTATTTTTTGCAGACTGTTATAGCAATTTTATAAAAGTAAGCTTGAACTTTCGATTATGTCAAATAGAATTTCTGATATATATTTATTAATATGTAAAGGATCTACAAAGCGAAAGTATGTTTCGAAGTTCATTAAACAAAAAGTAGAATTGCTACAAAAAATGGATAAAGGCATATCCTTTGTTTATCTAAACTTTAACGTTTGTTTATCTAAACTTAGTTTATCTTTAACGCCAAGGTGCGCAATGAATTGGAAGTTGATCTGTCAGCACTATCCTTATCTTCAGGGCAGATGTTTTTATTTTATTTGGCTTATAATTCCTTACTAAATGTAGTATTTCATCTCGATGTACTCCGTCTTTGATATGATTTAAATCAAATTCCTCATCATTATAATTCGCTTCCGATAGCGAAGAAAGTGACAGAGGTTATTGAAAACGAAAAAATTTCGATTGACAAATTAGTCGGTAGAAACAGCAATTATAGGACTCAAACAGCGGAACTTTGTAACTGAACAAGAAATTATGTCTGTTTATAGAATTAAAGAGAATGTATTATCACATAAAAAACAAAGCAACTTAAACAACGTACATAGAAAGAAATGTTTAATAAAGTAAACAAATAAATATTAAGCTTTTTTTTTTTTTTTTTTTTTTTTTTTTTGTAAATTTTGATACCCTTTAGATCATAATTGTTCTTTATTTCATAAATTACTGTTTCATATTTTTAATTTTATAATTTCTCCATGCCATCTTACCAGATTTAAACTGATGATCTATAATCCGGAATCGCCGAAGTCCCGACGAGTCCATTAACGACTTTTGACTGTACTAGCATTTACTTAGAATGTGAAGGAAGTACATAAAGTGCTTTTGATTTATGTGTTTTTACATATTTATGAATGATTGTGTTGTATATTTAAATAAAGATCACAAAAAATTTAAAATATTGTCAGTAGAAAAAAATATATAGTTATTAATTATGGCAACTAATAACCAAAATAAATTTTATTTTTATTCATGAAAAGTAAAACTTACTCATTTAATTTGTTTTCTTCTTATTGAACTTTTATGTGTAGCTATTTTTGCTTTTTCAGTTTGTATATTTAAATAATAGTTTTGACTGTTGCACACTAAAAATATGATTCACTTTATTGGTATAATATGGTTTCATGTTTCCATATTTTAGCATTTGCTGAACTGCAGACTGATATGTCAGATTTAAATAATGATATTCAAGCCACTGGTGTTCCAACATTAGATCACAGAACTTTTGTGATGAAGGTCTTTTTCCCTGGTGTATCTGATAATCCTGTGATCGAAGAATGCAAGGTAAGAAATATATTCATCCTGAAAGGCTGATAAATTACTTTATTTAAATATACAATTACATTTGAATAGTTAATCAAAGAAATGAGGTTATCCTTCCTGGCTGTGTATTATCTCACTGCATACTTTATTGTTACTATTAATCAGATTAAAATTATTATGGCTGTTAATTATTTTTGAATTGACATTTTATTCTCGAGCATAGTTGTAATTTTTTTATTCAGAGAAAGTTTTAATATTAGAGCTATAAATTTTGGGCAAAGTTTGTCATATTTTTGCAATGCCCCAGATATATTTTATGTGAATGTTGCACTCATCTTTAGCATATAGATGTGGTCAGCTACCAAATCATCACTTCTTATTGTAGACTAGCAGCTTCGCTGCCAGCCTTCGTCTCGCTTTTGAATGTACCGGAAAAATGGCTGAAGGAAACACCAAACGTTAAATTTAAAAACTGCGTAGAATTTTACTCTGCAGGACAACTTCATTAAAAAAATGTTATTACATATAACAAAATTACAATGAAATAAGCAATATCCCTTAATACAAATATTAATTATCTTAATAAATAAATTAACCAAGTTCCCTTTGCAAAATCTTAAGAACTCAAATGGTATAAAGAAGGTTAAGAACTTTGTTTCCTAAAAAAGTCACTCAAAACTTTTCAATATCTTAAATGCAGCGAAATGAGCAGTAAATTAATGATAAGCATGTATAATTAATGATGCAAAAACTGAATGATGACTGAAAAGCAAAGTATAATTAATGATATTTTATCTAACATTTTCAAGAGAAAAAATTACAATGAAATAAGCTATATCCCTTAATAAAAATATTAATTATCCTAATAAAAAATTAACCAACTTTCCGTTGAAGAAAAAAAAAATCATGCAAAACTTTTCAATATCTTACAATTAGTAAAATAAGAAAAAAATAACATGAAAGAAACTCAAAAAATATAAAATTCTGTGCAGAATTTTACTCTACAGAACAACTTTATAAAAAAAATGTATTATATATATATATATATATATAAATGACAATGAAATATGCCAATCTCTTAAAAACAGTGACATAAGAAATACATGAAAAATTGTTGCCAAACCCATATTTCTAAAAGAATGAAACTATTCAAAATGTTGCACTTTCATCAAAAATCTATCAACAATAATAAGACAGGAAAATTTTTGCCGAAAATCACATTTTTAAAGATGTGAGAAGTGTACTCGGAAGCTTCATTTAAAAATTTTTTTAAAAATACAAAATATTATCATTTTTCCAAAATTCTTTTTGTAAAAGCAGTCGCAAGGATAAAAGTTTAAGGTGTGCAAAAATCAAAGAAAAATAAACTGTACATTTTCAAAATAAACGTTTTTAGAAAAAATCCCATTGAAAAGGTGTTAAGCTCCCTTTGTTAAATAAATTCATATTTAATTGATTTATTGAAACACGAAATTTATTTTAAAATCGTAAAATAGCTAAGTGCCTACGTTTCATGACGATGTGAAAATGGAGTGTGTAGAGTAAAATCTCGCTTTCCTGTAGCCTATTATGTCTCAAAATGATGCGATTTTGTCACAAAACATAAAATAAAAAAATTCGAATTCGAATTTCGAAAAAATCGCTTCAAGGTGCACTGGCTCTTGTCTAGATGCACCTATGTACCAAATTTTGGAGCCGTGGGTCTATTAGCTTACGCGCAGCGTGAACGAAGCACACACACAGACAGACTCTTTCTTTTATTATATGTAGAGATTTAAGATCTTAGATCTTCAAGATCCTTCAAGATCTAATTTTGAAGAATTTTTTATATTTATAATTTGAATTTACTGTAAATTAAGGTACTCTTTTGTTACCAAGACCGGATTCAGAAATGTATGCATACATATGTGTATGTATGTCCATATATGTGTGTGTGTGTGTGTGTACACACACACATGAATAGCTATGTACATGTATAAATGAACACATACATCCATACCTTTCTGAGTCTGCTCCCGATAACAGAAAAGTACCTAAATTAAAATTATTATAAATTATATCACTAGTAATTTAAATATGCAAACTCCCAGGTAACTGAAGCTCTCCATTATCTAAAAGGAATCTATAAGACACTATTTTTCTCATAATTCATAAGAGATTTTCCATGAATAGTATTGCAGTTACCCGAAAAATTCCACACAGGATTTCTGTTCTTATGGTGATTAGTGCAAGATGATTTCATACCTTTAAATAATTTAATTTTTTTTATTCAATAGTTTATTATATATTTTGTTTTCTTTTACATGAATAAATATTTTTTCCCCATATGTAGCAAATAAATGGACCACAGAATATGTATGAAATTGCTATGGCTCAATTTGAACAACTTCTGTGCAATAGAAATTTTTTGCTAGTGTTTATCGAGACACTGGAAGATCAGAAGTCATTTAGCATCAGAGACAAGTAAGCATTTTCATCAGTTCTTTTATTGTAAAAGTATTTTATTTGAAAATTTTATATTATTTCTTAGCGATATATGTTGTTAATATTATTTAGAACACAATATATTTTTAACAAATAATCAAAAGAACAGAGTAGTAGGGAAAAAGTAACAAATTGTAAACATACTTGAGTTGCATTCTGAATCAGAGATAATTGACAGACATATGTAAAAATTAAAATGTAATGATATGGTAGATCAACAGGGAATTACGCTTTGGAATGAGTCTTTCGATAGTACAGATCTAAGAACTTAGTTGCTTGGAATCAAGCATGTCAGTGGTCAGAAAATATTTTATTAATCTTTTATTTATTTATTTATTTTTGTTGTTGAAAAAAGAATGAATTTTATTTCTACCATCCTAGATGTAGTATATTATGCTGTATAGTATATAAATTACATTTCTTCATATAGATGATGTATATTATGCTGTATAGTATATAAGTTACATTTTTCTTTAGTAGACTGGACTTAAATATCAGAATTCATTATTTTCATGTCTATGAAAGGGAACATTGTATATTGTAGTGTACGGTACTTTTTGCATTATGTAATATTTTAAATTTGCATTACTTAATCTTTTAATGAATATGCATATATTCTATTTATTCATAGTCAGTACAGTCTGTAATACAGTGTATTATAAAGTACAAAGTCCGTAATCCGGACGTCCATTATCCGGAATGATCTATAATCCGGACCTCAAACAAAGAAAGATACATATTCTTTGCCTCAAAGCCACAAACTTTACGCATGCGCGAAAGGGGTGCGCATACATTATGCATTCGCGCATTAAAAGAAATGTTTAATAAAGTAAACAAATAAATATTAAGCTGCTTTTTTTTGTAAAATTTGATACCCTTTAGATCATAATTGCTCTTTAGTTCATAAATTACGGTTTCATATTTTTAATTGTATAATTTCTGCATGCAATCCCATCTTACCAGATTTAAATTGATGATCTATAATCCGGAAAAATACCTAATTCGGAATCGCCGATGTCCCGACGAGTCCGGATTACTGACTTTGTACTGTATAGTGTATTTTATTAACCCTTATTTAATATTGTTACTGTTTTACATTGTATTAATACATTGATTAGAATTGATCATATTTAAGTAAGTTACACAAGTATTCTGTTTTATATAGCATTCGCTGTTACTTTATTATTTCTTATTTAACACTGGTACTGCTCAGGGCCGGATTTAAACTTACTAAGGCCCTTAGCTATTTGAGATATGTCAATGCCAAATATGATTTTCGGATACCTAGAGGGTTTTCTGAACAGAAATATTTTGTTTTTGTTTTATTAATATTTTTCATTGTTTATGATTCCAGAGTGAATGTAGCATCACTTCTTATGATCATTTTCTTAGAAAAGATGGAATATGCTACTAGGTATGTATTTTATTTAGAAACTGTATGTCTGTTAAAATGTCTAATCTCCTGGATAGGAAAAAAGTATTTCTAATTTGTTTCTCAATTTCATATACATATTTAATTTTTTTAATTTACCTTCATTTAATTTTTTTTAGAATTTGCCTCCCCCTTTCCATTCTCTTAAAACAATTAACTTTCCTTCAACTTTACTTCACAAATAACAAGTGAAAAAAGTGTGTTAATGTAATCTCATAGCCAAATTAGATGCTTGAACTTGTCATAATATATACTGTTTGCAGGATAGATAAAAAAATTTAGGCTTTAAAAACTAGTTATCTGATTTTTGAAATACATAGTTTAGTAAATCAAAACTATCATGAAAATTGGTACCTGTGGCAAATTATTTTTTAAAGAAAATATTTTATAGCTTTTAATGTGTTTAAATATTGATACCTGCTTCCCATTTTAATAAGTTTATATTTGTTTAATTATTGCATTCTATATGAATATAAATTTTCATAATTGTTTTAATGGAAAAAAAATCTTTCTAAGAAATACTTTTAAAATTGATTAAATTAGTAAGATTTTGACTATTTTCAAAGTGAAGGTTCTGAAGATGGCTGGTCATATTTGTTTGTGTTTGTAAAGCATAATTTAAAATTCTGCCCACCTCCTTTGTTTTTAAGTTCTCTGAATATAAATTTGTATTTCTTCATAGAAATTTGTCTTTTAAGTTTAATTTCAAATGCCTGGTAATGTACCAATATTACTATTATTATTAGACCAAAGGGCATTAGTTCAGAAGGGCTATTAATTTTGTTTTGACATTTTGCATCAAAAACTTTATTCTTTAAAATACTTCTTTCAAATTGTTGCCATCAAATATTATATCCCTGTGTTATATTTAATGAAATTAAACAATGAAGAATCTACATAAATGTATGTATGTTTCTTGCATAGTGGTAAAAAAATAATACCTAGAGCTATAATTTTGAATAATGTAATTCCCACCAAATATGGGCATCCGGAAGCCCTAATTTGGAATTTGTTTTGTTATGGATTTCACTTAATACAATCATTTTGTAACACTTAATGAATTTTTGACAAATAAACTGAATGATTTCAAAGCGGGCAGTGGCAACACTGCACTGAAAAAAAAGGGAAAAATTATTTCCAGTGCACGAGACTGTGTATCAAAAATTCTAAAGATATGCTGATTTTAAAATTATTTTGCAATATTGCTGTTGAATTGAATTAAGTGCAAAGAACGTGATATTTAATAAATAAAGATAACACACAAAACATTCCTTTACTTTGTATGATTTTTTTTGGCTTGTTTATTTAATTTACACATTTTCTTTCTTCCCTTCCTACAAAGTCAGTTGTTTTTCAATAATATTATACATTATGTTGATGTTTTTTGTCATATGTCAATTTCACATGGTTAAATAGTTATTGTTTCTGTAGCATCCTGAAAGAACTTTTACTACGTTTAATAGACAAGTATGTTGGAACTAAACATCCTCAACTTATGCTTCGCAGGTAATATTTTTTTAATGCAAATAACCCAGTATTTTGAAAATGAGTTTTTTATAATTTTATTTTATTCTTTTAATAAAATTTGCATTTGATGAATTTTATTTTACAGGACAGAATCTGTAGTTGAAAAAATGTTAACAAATTGGATGGCCTTATGCATGTACAATTATATCAAGGTAAATGTAGTTCTAATGCACTGCAGTAGGTGCAAATGAACACAGCTCATATTCTAAATTTATGACTGACTAAATATAGCACATATTTAGGAAGAAAGAATCACTTAATCTCACAACTGAATTAGTGAATTTAGTGAAATATGTATATATATATGTATATGTATAAAATGCTACTTATAACAGAGAAATGCAAATTTGGCAAATGGCATTCTTAATTAAATAGATGTAAAAAATTTTATTTATAAAATGGAAGAAAAAATACCAGCAGCTGGTATTTCTTTCATTTAGTAATGGAGTTTTAGCCATTTTACAAGTAAAACTTATCTCAAGACTGGTTTTATGGATTTTTACTTCTTTTAATGAAGTAAAAAGGAAGTATTATAATTTCGTAAAATTCCGATTATGAGATTTCAATGGTAATATCCATTTTGACCATTCTCAAATCCATTTGAGTTTTTTTTTGGGGGGGGGCACGGCAGACAAAATTCAATAATTAATAAGTTTTATACTCATGATAAAAAATTAAAAGCAAAAAGTTTAACAACAGAGTTTATGGAGTTTTTTGTTTCTTTTAATGACAAAAATTGACTGGCTGTTTAATTTCAAAATTAGTAGATTTTGATAACATTTTCAACTTACCTTCAGGGATCCATTAATTATTGTAATAATTCAAGGAGACAGGTTTAAATGAAGTGCAGCAAAAAATATGTATAATTTAATAGGTGTGCAAGTAATCGTGTGGTGTCCTTATCAGATTTCTTTGCTTGATTTTTATGAATACATTAAATTAGCATTCATAAATATTTGTGTTTCGTTGTTATATCATAATAAAACCTGAAAATTAGATTAATATTGGTTGAAAATGAATTTTTATAGAAATTTAATAGAATAAAAGTTCCCACATGCATTTTTCATTTTAAATATTGTGTTGGAATAAATTAGTTAAAGAGGAAATGTTAAATGTGCCACGTTTCTTGAAGTTATTATTTATTAAGAAGTTACTAATAATCAAAGTACTTTTTATTTTCAATTTCCTCTTCTGACTGTAATAATAAAAGTATAACGGTGTATTCATTGGAATTCGTGTAGAATAGCAATGTATTCACATTTATACAGCCCTTTTTAGTATGGACTTGCAATTAAAGCATATTAATTTTTTTTCTAATAGGATCAAGCTGGTGGCTCTCTATTTCTACTCTTTAGTGCAATTAAGCATCAAGTTGAAAAGGGTCCTGTTGATGCTATAACACATGATGCAAGATATTCATTATCTGAAGAACGATTACTGAGGGAACAGATAGAATATTCTCCTGTGGTATGAATTTTAATGTGTTTCTGCATCTATCTAAAAATCCCAAATATTAGACAAACACACATACTTGTATATTTAATGCATTAAATCGCATTGTAACATGTAAATGAGTTAATAGATTGAATAAAGTGGCAAAAAAAAAAGGAGGGAAATCTTAAAAAAGAAAATTCTAAATTGGTGCTATTCATCTTAGCATATTGAATAATTTTCGTGTTTTAGTTTGTATATAATAATTGCATTAATATTTTAATGTAAATTATTGAAAAACTCTTATCACCAGTTAGGATAAATTTATTACAAGTATGAAAATATGTAAAACAAATCTTAAATCTTAATCTTCATGAAAGTAGTTTTAGTACAAAAATATTTTAACTATTTCATATTAGACTGTCATTCATGCCTGTCATTTTATAGGACATGACTATTATAATATTGTATTCTAGGAAAAAAACAGTAAGAAAATATAAACATGAGAAATACTTTTGAGAATTATTTGATAATACATTATTATGTTTACCATATAATTCAAATTATAAAATGCATTTCATGTAAAAACATTTACCAAATATAGATTTATGCATAATTAACTTTCATGCCATTCATATATGATCTTTAATATTGTTATATTTGCAACTGAATTCATTAAAACTTTTTTCAGACTATTCAAGTTATACATGAGGATCAGGATGAAAAAGTGCAATGTAAAGTAAATGACTGTGATACAATAAGTCAAGTTAAAGCCAAGATTTTAGACTCCCTTTACAAAAACACTCCATTTTCTCAAAGACCTTCCATATATGATGTAGACCTAGGTGTGTATTTTTTTAAAGTTATACCATTTATAAATTGAAATATATATATATAAGTTATGGTGAAACACCGAAATCTGGAGAATGTCGACTTTCACCGGTGAATGTTAACATTTACATAGTCGCTTGGTGTATGTCCGAAATATTTTCCAAATACTCTTATTTCTGACTTGCACCGGTAAATGTTGACATTCACCAAGTACTAATGGTGAATGTTGAACATATAACAATATTATATTTTCTTCCCAATAATTCAGTCGCAAAAAAACACACTTGAGACTTATAATAAGAACTTAAAATGCACAGCACATTCAAAATCAGAAAGGGAAATAATAGAAATTAAAAACTTACTAAATTATGTGATTCAAATCTTATTTATTGCAACAACTTAAACTATTATGACACTTTGAATTGCACAAGACGCCCTTGCTTTTATAACTGCATTTATTTGTGCGAACACTTTCTTTTTGCAATGACAGCATGCATATACTCCTCTCTTTTCAACCTACACCAGAGCATATCTGTGATTGTTGACATACACCGGCGAGGGTCCGAATGTACAAGAAAGTAATGCAATATTCAATCTTTCACTGCCATATTTGGTGAACGTTGACATTCTCCGATGAAAATCGACATTCTGCAATTTCGGTCTTTCACAGTAACATATATATTTGATCACTATGATTAGCAATGAACAGGGCCAGGATGAGGGGGAGGCACTTGCCTCAGGTGAACAAAGAGAAGGGGTGCCAAATTAGCTATTTGATCAAAACTTCAGAAATTTATTTTTAAAACTTATGATTTTTAACTTTTAATTTCAGAATACATCAGTGAATATTAAAAGAATTTTGTGTTATAAACAATCCAGCTAATAAAAGGAAAAGAAAAACTAATAGCATTTATTTATTCTCAAAAGGCATGAGCTTTCACAGAAGTTCATATAATATTTTATAACTTTAAAATTTGTTATTGAAAGTAGCTTTAAGGAACTAATTACACTTTGCGTAACGAATTGTATAGTAAACTTCCATAGAAAATATTATGCTGCCGACATTAGTTGTTCTTTGCTGTCTCTCATTAGTTTTGGTGACATAACTGCTGAGTTTTGCAATTTCATAAATGCCTTTTGGAATAGCAACTGAAGAATAAAAAAGGTGATTGAAAATGAAATGTACCATATTATTTAGTCATTGCATTTTATATATATATAAAATTTTCTAATAAACAAGGCACATGAACCGAAGTTTTTGGTTTGTATTCACACTCATGTTGCACGGGAACTGTATGAATTGTTTCTAGTTTTAAAAACCATGCTATTTCAATAATTTCAGACACAAAAGCAGCTACAAGTTTAGAACTTTTAAAAATAATTCACGATTATAAATTAGTTTAGTCCTATCTGAATTTGGAAGCAGTGTTAAGAATTTGTTTAACGTTGCCAGTTACTTTAGCAAACTTAATGTAATAAAGAACTATATGAGATATTAACTAGACCAAGATACTTTCAAACATGGCTATTCTGTCTGTAGAAGATGAGTTTAGTAATCAAATAGTTTTGAAAAAGATATTGATGATTTTGCTTCTTTAAAAGCAAGAAAAATTAAATTATAAATATACTTGAAAAGTTTATGTCATAAATTTTTGAGCTGATGTTTTATTTATACTAAATATTATTTGCCATTTTCCAAATGTTTTCCATTTTAAAATTGTTAATTATTATATATGTTTCACTTTGTGGAATATACAAAATTACAATTAAATATTACTATAAGAGTTATTATATCTTCACTTGAAATAGTTACTTTTAATGAGCATAAAATATATATAGTTAATTTGTTCTATATGTATGATTATATGCATATATATGCAATAATGCATATAATACTTGTTCTTGAACTAAGTGAATTTAAGATCATACAACATTATATATATAATATATATATATATATATATATATATATATATATATATATTGCACATGTTTATATAATGTTATGTTTTCAAACATCATTTAGTATTATTTATTCCCCTCCCCAGCCACAAATAGGTAAATAAATAATCTTACATTGTATACAGGGGCACACATTCACCGCTTTGCCTCAGGTGAAAAAATATGTAGGCACGGCTCTGGCAATGAATAAGAGTTTTTGTTATTGATCTTCCTGATGATGTGACATTCAGCTAGATCAGGTCCATGAATTTTATTGTGGCCAAGGGCTGTATATGTCATTGGTTGAGGCCTTGAGCATCTTATAGATGATGTTTGAAGTTAGCCTACATTATTGACCAAGTGGTTAAAAAATTACCATCTCAACACATCAAAAAGCATTCTCTCATTTTAGGAGATTAAAAGAATTCTTTTTTCATTCCTTTCTTTCCATCAATTAGCTATACGATTGCCTATATTTTGCAGAAATTCAGCTCTCAGGTAATTTTTTTTTCTTCTTTCAATAAAAATCACAGTTCCATACTTAGACCCCCATTCTAGATATGAACTTGTGGGGTATATTCAGGATTCCTTGCCAGTATGGTTTGTTTAACTTATATCGATCAAACTAAGACAGCCTTAAATTTCACACTAAAGAAGATGAGGCATATGCTACCAACACTGTTGGTCAGAAAATCACATTTTACTGCAGCGAAAATTATTCAAAAAACGTTTTCCCTTGGCAAATTAGATTTTCTAGAGGAATTTCACATTCATAAAAGTCTTTCAGTTTTAGTTAATGATACCGATTCCAATCCTTTATATTCAGCTTTTAAGGAAATGGGTATTTTCATTTTTCATCAATAGATGGTGCCAGTAGCTTAAATTTCTTCCTATTATTGTCATGGCCTAAGCTCAGACTTCTCTTTTGCCATTTGCTCTTCTGCAACTGAAGGAGAAGGTTCTATATTTAAATCTTTGAAACTAGTCCTGAAGATCTGTAACTATCATGCTGATTCTTGTAGCCTTAGTAGTACCTCCAATAATTGTTATGCAGTGTGTTATTTTAATACAGATTTATCAGTATGTGTCAAACTCAGAAACCACTGCTTACATTGAATAATTTTGAGTTATTTTAAACTTTTTTCCAGCGAACCTCATTTTGGAATTCAGCAAAAATCAAATCTCAAGCACTAATCATAATTTAAAGGAGTTGATGGAATTTTTTTTATCATTCAATTATTGCAAGGGAGAGAACTTTCATATACAATCTGCAATTTCAACACAACATGCAGACAGTATAAACAATATAACCATGGAAATTTTGTAGCTCTTAATCACAATAAATTTCTTTACTCTGCTGATGATTTGCTGACTAGTATCCATTGTTCAAACATTTGTATATTTTGCAGTTAGCAATACATAAGCCATTTCTGTGAAAATTTGAACTCTCAAAAAAAGAGAGAGAAGCTTTTACAAGAAAAACATTTATTATGTTGTAATATAAACAAATTGTTGTGTAAAGGCCTGCAAAGGGGCAAACTGCTCTTTTTGAAGTGGTAAACATGCCCACACAATATGCTTTAAATTAGAAAATTCTAAAAAAAACAAAGGATTAAACATAATTTGGATAACGTTTTTTAAAAGAGTTAGCCAGCCAAGGCCTTAAACACAGTAGCTGAAAATTAGTAGTTTAAGTAAGTTATTCCTTCATTGCTAATATTATATTTAAGTGCTCCAATGAAGCTTTCTGCTCAGATTGAGAAATTATCTACATTCAGCATTCTAATGCAGTGCTCTAACTATATCTTCTAATCAAATGCTCAAACTGTGAGACCAAAAATGAAGTCATTTCTGTCTTTATTATCTTTAATTTGTGATCTATTTATTTAATTTTGAACACATGCAATTTTCATGCTATTTTTATATTATATAAGCCTCCTAAATTTATCAAGTGCATATTAGTTAAAGAGAAGAAAGATTTTTACCTTGAAATCTTAGATTTTTGGTGTTTTCAGAAAAAGCGTTTAATTTTTTTAAAAATATGTACTATATATATGTTATAACTCAATATCTCATGTATATTTAACTCAGTACCTGCAATTCCTTTTTAGAATGGAGACATGGTCGTGGAGGTCACCTTATTCTCGCTGATGAAGATCTCACCACAAAAGTTGTTAATGGTTGGAAAAGAATAAACACACTTGCTCACTATGGCATTAGAGAATCTGCTGTCATGTGTTTAGTTGCAAGAAGAAAGGAGATGTTGAATTGTCTTCGTAAGTTTTTGTAAAGTTGCTCTAATTCTAATATTGCCCACTTGCACTTGTACCCATATTTTCAATAAAGAAGCAGATTCAGAAAATTTTTAGTTATAAGGAATAAAGGAATTATTTCCTCTTGGAAAAAAAAAAAAAAGAAAGAAAACTTGGCAATGAACACTTTTTATAGATCATGTTTACCTTTATCTACTGATTTTAGTTAAATGACAAGGTATTTTAAGAACAGTATTGTAACAAAGCATTAATCTGGTTTTTATAGTAGTAATATTTTTCCTTTGTTAATAAAATAGCATTTAAATACTGAAGTAATACATTTCATTACTGTAAAATATTCTGCTAGAAATTATATTAATAATTAAAACAAAAGCATGGAACATTATCCAGATAGGAATTATATTAATAATTAAAACAAAAGCATGGACCATTATCCAGAATAGGAATTAGATTTTTTTATATATTTTTAATGCCAAAGTGTATTCTGCTCTAAATGCTTCAAGTAGTTCATGAAAATTAATGATTTTTTTTCATACTCTAGATTTTTATAATTTTTAATCATTCCAAAACTATTAATAATTTAGAAAGAATATTATATATATATATATATATTTTTTTTTAGGTTCAGCATTTAATGGACCTTTAATTTCTGGTTCACCTCAATTAGGCAACTGTATAGAAGATGGACCTAGAGTTCGCTATTGGCATCTAGTCAAAAATATTGATGACCATCATGATTTTCATAAAGACCATAGTCATAAAGCAATACCTGAGATATTTTTAACCCGCCTTTTATCGACAAAGGTAGGAAATAGTTTTCAAAGCGGTGATTTCTCTTAACTGTATTTTTTCAAAGCCTATATACTTGTGAAACTTGACAATTGATTTTTAACAAAATTTAAAACTGTGTAGTTATGCAAGGATTTAGATCAGATTTGTAATACATTGATCAAAATGTTGAAGTTAATAGCTCCTAATCATGTAATTTTGCTATTGCATGTATGAGTTAATGTCTTGATAAAAAAAAAGAAAACTGATAATCTTGATTAAAAAAGTACTTTGTTCTATTTCTTCTAATTCTATGAAAATCCTGATTGTTGTGTAGAAACTTCAAAGATCAATATTTTTCAAACTTTTTTAAGCCATTGCCTTTCTGATTTCAACTTTTTTTTATAGGTTCTGGAAGAAATATTAATGTAAACGGCTTGTTAATTCAGTTACTTAGCTCTCAGCTCCTGTATATGAATTTTGTGAATTGTATTATCAGGATTTCATTACTAAAATAAACTATATTTTAACGTATTTCATTTAAATAATTTGCGGTTTTGCAGCTGAGGATTGTGGTTCGGTAAAACCATCGAAACTAGTCCTGTGAAAATTTTGAAAATATAACGCTGATCTTTGACTATTTTGATTGTTTGACTTCTGAATTAGTACATACTTATGGTTTAGAGGTATTTTTTTCAAAATATTTATTAACTTTTAGGGCACAATTCAGAAGTTTGTGGATGATTTTCTTACTACAATTTTGTCTGCTAAAGAATCTTTACCTCCTGCGGTTAAATGGTTATTTGACCTCTTTGATGAAGCTGCTGCTCGGTATGGAATTTCAGATCCTGAAGTTGTTCATGCGTGGAAAAGTAACAGGTATTTTTCCTTTTTTTTTCTGTATTTGTTTCTTATTAATTATAGTGAAGAGAATAAATCTACATAATGGTAATTTGTTTGCATTATTCAAAATATATGTAGATTGTTTTATTTATTATCCTCATTGTTAGTCTGCATTCATAGTACTCGCGAATTTTGTTAAAATATTATGACTGCTAGCTGCAATTTTGAGTTTTCACTTTACATTAACAGTATTTTCAACTAATTTTTCATTAGCTGTTAAAAGGAAGTATTATAAGGTTTGTTTGACAAATGCTCATATTAATAAAATAATAATAATAATAATCTCTTTTATGTTTCAGTCTTCCTCTTAGATTTTGGGTAAATTTGGTAAAGAATCCAGATTTTGTGTTTGATGTGGAAAAGACACCTATAGTCGATTCTTGCCTGTCAGTAATTGCTCAAACATTTATGGATTCTTGTTCTACTTCAGAACATAGATTAGGCAAGGTAATTAGATGCTATTTTGGTGTCCTTATTTTTATTTATTATTGTTGTTATATTATTTGGTATCTATTTCTCAAAGTATTTAGTTTATTTAAGTATGAAAAATGAGGTTGTTTTATTTACTTCTATATCACCATAAAAGTGGTATTTTTTATTTGGGAAAAATCTGATTTTATTTTTGAATAAAATAAAATTTGGATTCATATATGTTTAACACTGTATGTAAAAATTACATTTATCTTAAATTTAAAATAAAACTGATTATGAAATTGATGCCTTAGGATTCTCCATCCAACAAACTCCTTTTTGCCAGAGATATTCCTACATATAGAAAAATGGTAAATAGGTTCTATCAAGATGTAGCCAATTTACCACCTGTTACAGAACAAGAGATGTGTGTATCTCTGCAAATGCTTTCAATGGTAAGATTATTTAATTAAATACTTTTACCTGTACATTGCTTGTACTTCCATTTTTGTTATGTGTTTCATAATAAAGTTTTCATTTGGTACTGATGTTTTTCTGAAGCATATAAGTATTACAAATATATCAATGTTATTTCTAGTTTTTCATTATTAACAGAAATACAATGAAGCCAGTCACTACATGCTATAGGAAAAAAAATGAAATAAAAATCATATTTCAAATAAAATGCTTGATATCTTTCTGTATGATTAATTAAAAATTTTGTGTTTACTAGGCTCATTCAGGTGAAGTTGACAGTGTAAATGCCTTAAAAGAGTTGTACATATATGTTTCAAGATATGGTAATCAAGTAAGTATATTTTCTTATTGCAGAAAATTATAAATTCATTTAAAATGACTAACATAAAATATTCTATTTTTATGTTTTTAAATAAAATTCTATTTTTGAGTAAATGTATGTATATTTATTGAAATGTGTATATATTTTCACAAACTGCATGCATATAGCTATAAAATCATATATCACATTCTGAGTAAATGATATTTAAAGTGCAGTCTGTGCAAAATCTTTTATTTATTGCTCTTGACAGAAGAGATCACACTATCAAAATCCATTCTTAATAATAAAGTTAATTGAATAACACATTATATTATTTAAATTTAACTATCATTTAAGTTCTATCATTTCAGCTCTTAGAACAGGTATGCTTTTTATGAAAACTTTATTCTTTTGCTTAAATTATTTCATCTCTTTCTGGCACATATTTATTGCAGTGTATGTTTCATTTTACTTCAGCCATAACCACAACACAACAATTTACTATCATTACATTGCAAAACTTGAATGATACAAAAGCTAAGATCAATGTCAAAGGAACTAAGTGATTTTGTATTTTAGATCACCAGTTTGATCTGTAAAATGGCATGCTGAAATTATAAAATTAAAAATATTAATACGTTTTTAAGAACGAGGCATTTTGCATAAGGAAAGAATTTTTCTAAATCTTCACCATATGAAATTAAAATGTGATTGAAAACTGAGAGGCTGATATTTCCTGAATTTAATATTTAAGTACAAATATTCCTTGTTCCATTAATTGATAGGAAGCATTGTCATCATAATGTAAGCCTGCAGTTGTATCATCTTCATTTAGCATTTCATTTTATATTGCATTAATTGAAAAATATCGCTTACTACTTCTGATATTTGAAAATCCAATTAATTGCCTTCATAATCTTTAAGAAATTTAGTAGCAGCCAAGTATTTTTAAATATATCTACAGACACATCCTCTCATGATCTTGCATTGCCCCACACATCAGATTTTATATTAGAATATTTCTAGAATTCTTGAATGATCTTATTGCTGCTTCAGTTTTTAAGTTATTTTATATTCAAGTCCAATCAAAATTATAATATTCAGTGGCTGATATAAAAGAGTAAAATGGAAATGCTATCATATGCTAACACTGTAACTTTGATAAGATCAATAATAACAGACAGACAACAAAATAAAAAAGCTGCTAAAACTCAGAAAGTTAAAGATGATTGAATTTTTTATGTTAAACTGAACTGAATTTAATTGTCTTGAAATTAAAATTTTTTCTCCCTTCCCTACAGCCATACCAACAAAATAAAACTAGTATGAGCAGCATCCCACTTCAAATAAATATATCTTGGGGCTTCACTTACTGTTTAGGTCAGGCAAAAAATGCTCTTTTCCCCTTCCCACAGCCATTCAAGGTCCGAAAACGTGTTTGTGGTTAACATCAATAGAAATGTATTGACATTGGCCATGGTCTGATTCCCTAGCCAACAAGTATTTGAGAGTTACATCTAGGAATCTCATTTAGTTGGGAGAAAATCACTTTTACACCACACCTTTTTCTTGAGTACTTTATTCTCCACTCCTAGGAAAAAATTTTTTTTACTGATAGTCCAAAGGAAAGATACTGGATTTCGGACCAGATATCCAAAGGAACAGGTACAGGATTTTGAACTTTGCACTATATTGCATTCACTGGAGGTTTATGAAGAGCAGGAAACTGCATATTTTCTTTAATTCTGTTTTTACTTATTTTCTGATGTATGTAAACATTATCTGCTACATAAAGGAAGCCAGATTTGATAGCTATTAATAGCTATTATTATACAATGTATTTAAGAAACTTTATTATTATGCAGATCTGTAATACAAATGCATCGAAATGCAGTGAGGTAAAAGAATAATTCAAAATTTTTTATTACAAATATTCATAATACTAAAGTACTTCAGTATAAGCTGCTTCAGCTGAATTAAGAAAATCTTGTCCCCCCTTAAAAAATTCTTGCTACAAAACTACAGATCAAAGTTTACAGACTGCTTCCTAAATCAATTCTACAGATTCAGACAATACAGATAGGCAGCCACAATTTTTCAAGTTCTGAATTATTTTTTTCTTTAAATTTCCTCATCCAAGCATAAGTTAACAAGGATATTTTAAAGTGATTCTCTATACTTCCTGAAATACTTTTTCTTGCATACTTCTGAGTTAAATCCAGGTAACGAAAAAGATTGCACCCCTACCCCATGTTGTACAAGTTAAAATAATATGCTGAATAAGGATTATTGTTTTTAGCAACTCCAATAACTGTGTTATCTTTTTTAACATGTTGAGCGCCATCTGCGGCTGACACTATAGACTTTCCATTTAGGCCGCATCAGCTATCTGTGGCTGACACTAGACTTTCCGTTTAGGCCACGTCGGCCATCTGTGGCTGACACTAGACTTTCCGTTTAGGCCGTGTCGACCGCCGCTGGCTGACAGCGTGTAACATGATATATAACTATACAATTTATACTGTTTTATGGAATTACAGAAAAAATTATTTAAAATTTACTTAATTTTGATTCATTACAGGAATAATGGATTTCATTGAAACACAGTAAGTATAAAAACGGTTCTCCATTACAGCTACTAAAAATGTGACAACTGTCTTAGTCTTGTTTCTAGCCATTACTCTACCAGCTTCAGTTGCATTTTTATCATAACATAACTTACAATATTTCCGTATTCCAGAGGCTTTTCCCGGTTTTCTTTGGAGTTTATGTTGTCGTTTTTTAGATATTCTTGCATTTCTGTTCAATGGAATATCTTCTTTTTCACAACTTGTAAGGGATAGCGCTAATTCTTTCCAGACTTCAGTAATGCTAATTTTCTGCTTCGTAATATCTTTACATAGAATGTAACTATTTACAAAACAGACTTGATGCGTAACGTGTTGAATGAATACCTATAGGAATCACCTTCAAAATGTAAACTATCTTCTACTGAGATAAGAATCGCTGGCCCTACAATACCAGCTCTTTTAAGTGGCGCGCGTGGCCTGAACGGGATTGCCTAAGAAATACGCTTGGCGCTCAACATGTTAAATAGAACAAGTAATCATTGCTTTCTCTTCAGCACCATTTGTGCTAAAAGAAATGTTATTTAATTATTCTTCATTCTGAATTTCATCATATTGTGTTATTTTTATGCTATGCAGTTTAAAATTAATTAAAAATATTCCTGGAACATTCTGTGTAACATTAAATCTTGCTTTTATCAAACTGATTTATTTATATCTATTGGATATTGGTAGGGAGTTGATTTTAATAATGCTAAAAGGGACTAAATTCAAAATGTATACATCTTTTTTTAAATTAAAGCTTATATACACTGTGTATATAAAGGCAACTTTTGCAGCTTTTATTTTCACTATTGCTGGTACTTCAAATTAAAGAAACTTATATATATACTTCAAATTAAAGAAATGTTTTAAATGATGCAAAGATACATGTTTTGACATTTTTAAGTTGAAAAAAATCAGTTGCACAAAATTTAGATGTTCTTTTATTCATAAAATTTAATCGTGTCAAACTACTGAAGGATGTGATAAAAATTATTTGGAGTTTCAGGTTATAGTGATATGATGATTTTTTTTTAATTAGAATATATATATATAACTTAAAAAAACTATAAATACACTACTGAGATTTCATAATATAGGGGAAGGTAATATTTTTACAACTTTCTTTAATTTACTCATTACATTCATTAAACTTTAATTCTTTATGCCCAAAATGTTTGGAAGGTTATTCATTACTATAATAAAGATATGTCACTGAAACTAAACAAGTACACCAGCAGTTTTAAGAAACAATTAAAATGACTTACAATGCTTAGTGTGACTAGTAAGTTATACAAATGAAGAACAAATTATGCCACCCAACCAGGGTAGTGCTTAGTGACACTGACTGCTGTACCAAAGGGCATGCATCCGAATTTCAGATGGCATGGATGTTTGTAAATGTATAGTGTCTGTGTGGCGTGGGGGCACTCTAAATATGTGGTGAGCCGAAAATCCTCTCGAGAGATTCGTGGTAAATGAAGAGGAGTGGAAGATTTCTCTGACCCGTCCCCCTGGGGTGCTTTTGATTGCAATTGGGGGTGGAGCTGAGCAAATTCGTACTGTAATGTGAATGGTGCTCAAGGCTCTTGCCAACAACAGATGCAATATTGCATTCCTTGCGATGGTGAATTTTTTGGGCTTGCTCTGATATTACTGTCAGACAAGTGAGATAAGTCACAACAACAACCAGAACAAATTATGGCTGGTATTGACTACAGGTTAAAATTAATAGAAAAAAAATAGTTCTTTTGAATTTTTTATATATTGCACTTAATTAGATATATACATAACAAGAGTCTCTGAAAGTTTGTATATATATATATAAATGACTTGCAATTCAACTTTTAATATATTCAACTTTTAATTGCAATTCAACTTTTAATATGTATATATATATATAAATAACTTGCAATTCAACTTTTAATTTATTACCCATTTTTTTAATGTGTCTTTGTATATATAGAGAAAGAAATAAGAAATTAGAATAATATAGGGGCATGTAAGAAATGAAATTAAAAACCAGCAGAAACCAAAATGCCTGTAAATTTGTAAAAAATCAGCCAATAGTTACCAAAAAAAATTATAGAATGAGAAATACTAAAATTACAAAAAAAAATGCAAAAATTATATAGGGAGAGGAAGATTTCAATATATATATTTTGTTATACTATATTTTAATTTCAATCTTAAATTCAATAAGAAGTATCTAATTAATTTCATTTACTTTATTTGACATTGAGATTTTTTACATATGGACGTGTTTTTGTAACGGATTGCCTCTCATCGAGGAGGGGGTTCAAAATTTTCAGATGAACTGTTATAATTAAATAATTTAGAAATGGTCATCAGCTAATTTTAAATGAACAGAAACACATTGGTTTTCCAAGGGGAAGGGGTTCAATTGAATCTAATGTACCTTGATAATAATAATTGATAATGTACCTTGATAATGTTTGCAATCTTGATAACACTGAATCAGAGTTTTATTGCATTTCTCTCCCTACATAATTTTTGTATTTCCCATACCTATAATTAGTCTGGTTTGATAACTGTTGGTTGATTTTTTACATATTTATAGGAATTTGGTTTCTGTTGGTTTTGAATTTTATTAATTTTATGTCTTTGTGGATTTGTTCTCAATTTTTTTTTATCTTTAATGGAATTATTATTGCTCAGAAATAATATTGGGATAAATTTTGTTTTAAAATAAAATATATGTATATATATATATATAATCAAGAACCAATAATTAAATCAAAAATAGGGAATTTAACAATATAATAGGAAGTGTATACATCAAAACTAAAATGAAAACAACTCAATAACATAATAATAATATAACAGACTGTTGAAATTGTTGGTCTTTTTCAAGGAGCAGCCAAAGAATTTTCAACAGAGCCACATTTCTGAATTATATCAGGATGATTATAAATTCTTGAAATAATTCAAAAGAAAGTGCTAATAATTTAAAATACTAATTTAAGGCCATTAAATTTTTCTTTACTGAAAAAGAATGCAATAAAATATTAAATAAAAGTTTTTTTTAAAAGTTTTAAATTTAATTAATCATTAAAGATATATTCTGCTCTGACATGACCCTAAAACATGATATTGTAAAAATAACTTGTATAAAATAAGAATATTTTGAATTAGAAACCGCAAAACCAGTAGGTAAATTGAAAGCAATCAGCTAAATAAATATTTTAAATACATTTTGAACCATAGGAAATAAAACAATGTAAATCAAAAGTAACTATTACAAATAAAATAAATATATTTTAAAATCAAAATTTTGAGAAAAAAAATATTTTAGAAGGAATGTTACTTAAAATAACTTAAAAAGCTTTAAAGACAGTTTGGGTTCTATATTGAAGAAAAAATGGAGGAGGGGACTTAAAAAAGAACAGAAGGTTTATAGCTTAAAATGGGAAATCATGTAAAGGGCAAAATGCCACAAACGGAGAAAAAAATTAATTGAATGTTAAACTGAATCAATTAATTTAATTAAAAAATAACTTTAATCCAATAGGAAGAAGAAAAGTAAAACCTGAATAAAGTTATTCAAAGCCTTATGGTAAATTCTTTATGAGACTTTTAAAGTGTAGAACTGAGTAGTAGGAGGGTAGTTTAACAGAATGGAAATAATGAAAATAAAGAACTGACTGGGGTTGTATAGGTGTAGTGTGTAAAAATGCAGCCTATAAAATTGAAAAATGAAAATATTGGAGATTGAAAATGCAGTGATTAAATTCGGAAATTTAATTACAGAAATTAAAAGTTTTAAAAAATGAAATTAAATGTTTTAAATAGGGAAGAATTAAAAATAAATTTAAAAAGAACATTTAAAATTAACCAAAATTAAATCAAAAAAATTCAACGAGAAAAATTAATTTGTAAGTTGGGGAAAATAAAAAATTAAAATTATTTAAATTAATATAAGTATCTTAAATGTACGTTAAAAAGAATTTTAACATATATTTAAGTTAAATTTGATATTAAGAAATTCTAAGTATGTGTAAAAAAGGAATTTTAATAAGAGTATTATTGATTTACAATAAAAAGTAATATGTAGGTAATAGCAAATAGAAAGAGTTGTGAAAAAGTAGTTTGAGTAACAGTAAACATCTTCACCTGTTGAGACTAGAATAAAACTAGAATAAAAATGGCAATTTGTTAGTAATAGGGATGGAGGGACTGCATACATCTGACTACATACATATTTACATGAATATTTAAAATTTTTCAAAATTGATTTAAATATATCCTATCACAAGTTTTTTTTTTTTTTTTTTTGTCAGACATACCTTGGACAAATTATTGCATGATTCACTGAAAATATCCACAAATGTAGATAAATTTCATAAAAGTTATGAGCAAAGATGGCATATTAACTTTTCTTCAGTGAAGGACAGATTTAGAGTAATTCACAAAAATGTATCTAATAATTTGTGTTAAAAGTTAAAACTTTGCATGATGAAATTCAAAGCTTTTGTATCTTTTTGTAGTGACATACAATTCATATTTTTTTCCTTAAATTTCAGATTTTGGAAGCTTTAGATTCAGATCCTCTGTGCATGTCTCAGCATCTGGCTCGTAAACTGGACACTGTAGCTTACACAATAGGTGGAGGTGAAGCATCGTTATGTTGAATATGCTATATTTTGTGCGAAAAGTGCTTCTCCATTCCTATGCATTTCAGTTCGAAATGCACTTTGTGGTAAAACTGTTACAATCATACATTTGAACTGCTATAGCAAATATGTTTGAATTTCCATTGCAAGGAATGCTTGAAAGAAAATATTCAGTTGTCCCTTGCATCTTGTGATCAAGCCATTTTATATGACTGATGAACGACTTCAGCGTCAGTGATGTGTGCCGTGTGTGTATTATATGTATATGCATATATAAAATATTATGTATAGTTTTTGCTCCTCTAACTGTTATTTTTTTTTTTTTTTATTTTGAACTTCAACATTGAGACTCAGTTTACAGTAGTACTCACTGTTTGCATGATCAGTGTTTAGTCACGGCAGAAGAGCATTCTCTCACAAATCTTCGATGACTATAAGCTCTCATTTAAATGTACCATTTCTACAATAACACTCCGTGCCACCTCCTCTGCCAATGCACATTGAAAACCCTTTATATAAGAAGCAGTCTTTTGAAACAGCAATCATTATTCATTTGATATAAGTGATTTATTTGTTTTAATTTTGATGCCTTCTGTCAAATCATGATCGTGTAAGCTGTAATTTCAGTCACTCATTATATACAAGTACTGTCTCATGAGAAATCTGTTGCCAAGGAAACAACTTCTAAATACTTAAGAAAGCTGTTGTGGAAAAGTACTTAATATGAAAACTTGACTCAAGAAAAATTTGAGCTAATGAGGCAAGGAAAGTTACGAATTATGACATGCTACAAAATTAATGAAACTTTTTGTAATTGCATGTTTTTGAGAATATCTTTTTGGATCACAATCACCAGTCTTTTTACAATATAGTGCATTACAACCTTAATGACATTTAAGTTATTAACCTAACAATGTGTTCTTCCATGTGTGTACTTGAAAAGTTTTGTTTATCTTTCATATATGTATAACTTTGGTCTTGTCTACAGAAATCATACAAAGAGTAAGTTAATACTTTGTTATTGGCCAGTTAGTGCATCTGGACAATGGAATGCCTCTCTCAGTTTTAAAATGTAAACCCAAACAAGCCTGAGGCTCTTAAGTGATCATTTTAAAAATCCTTTAGCAATTTATTGTATTTGTAAAGGGAAGCTAAAGAGAAGATTAAATTATTTATTTTCATGAGGCTTTCTCCTAGCGGTCAGTCATCTTTAATTCTAGCTGCATTTACCTTTTCATTTTATGCCTTCTTCAAATAATTTTGGTAAACCAGAAAGCTTGTTGCATAATGAAAACGTTTATTTACTTCTTTTTAAAGTAACATATGAAAGGGAATATAATTGTCTCTTCTGTTCTGATACTGAAGAGTGATTCAAAACTTTTTCAGAATTCTATAACAATGAAACCAACAGATGAATTATTGTTGAACTAGTGAAATGAACTGATAAAGTGCTCTTTTATATATTTTATTCAAGCAAACCTATTTGTAAGCTGTTTGTGTTACATATTTTTCTGCAGAATTTAACTATCACTGTGTGAATATTGTCTGGCTGGTATTAGTTCTATATTAGAAGAAAAAAACAAACAGATACTTCCAGAACATTACACTTTAGTTCTGCAAATGTAAATGAATGTAAATAGAATGCTGATCTATCAAAAAGTGTGAAAAGTTGATTATTTATTATTTTATTTCAAAACACATTAGCCTACGGCATTTCAGTAAGGGATTTCGAAAAGTATGTTTACCTTTTTCAACTGCAGAAATTCATAACTCATTGTGCATTAAAATTTGAAAGATTTATTTCTAGAAATTAGTTTTGTTAAAATATGCATATTTTACTGAATAATAATATCTGTAAATAATATATGCAAGAAAAGAATACTTCACACAATACTGTAGATTTTGCATCTTTTGTGCAGATCAAACAATTTGGGGGAAAAAATTCAGATCTGCTGAGATGTTTAACCTTTCAAATTACCAAGGAAATACTATATAGTATCAGGTATAACTTTTCTTTACCATCTAAATTTATTTCAATTGCACATTTCTAGAATTTACAAGTGTGTATGATATCATGAAAAGTAAAGTTGAATTGCCTTTTAAATCCACAATGAAACACCATACAGTTTTTTAGTATATTAAAAATTATGTTGCAAAGCAGTTTGTAATTTAAACTTGTTTTCTTTGTGTTATTTCATTCATTTCTCAATTTAATTGGAAGCGTCTCTCATATTTGAGTATACCTATAAATGTTAATTTTGCAGATGTGTGAGGTTTAGAAAAATTATTTAACTTCCACAGTTGCACATTACCTATGCATTTGGAAGGTAATAAATAAGGAAACCATCTTTTAAAAAGCAGAAAGTAAGTTTTATAAAAGGCATCACCTTTCCTTTCTAACCTGTGCATACAAAAAAAATTTAATTTGATTATTTTTTAAATAAAGATATAATATATTTCACTGCTTTATCAGTGTGTGAGCAGTTTTTTGCTCTAACAAAACAGGGTTATTCTTAGTATTACTGTAGCATAATTTTGCTTTACAATGAATTAAACTAGTAATGGTAGAAGACAGGAGTTTTTCATTAAAATTTTTCTGTAGTTTATGCCTGTGCAAATCAAATACCCTATCAAAACAGTTCAAGATACATTTAGAGTTTACATATTAAAATGTAGTTTAAATTCTCATTTAGTTAATATTAAATATTTTTTTAATGATTTAAAATTATCCTTCCTTCCTATTTTGGAGGGAAGAAGTAAACTTCTTGTGAATTTTTTTCAACATTAAAAATATGTGCACCGAATTTCTTATATAATGAAGCATGGATAACATTTAAAAGCATTAGAAACATTAAAAGGGTTATTTTCATTAAATGGAAAAGAACTGCAGAATTTAAAATTTATTTATTTCTACGTGCATATATCTACATGGAAAATAACTGCTCTTCTACCAAAATTTTAATGTATAATTTGTACGTTTCAACATGTATCTATTTACTAAGAAATAAAATGGCTATCATTTTTTCTGTGGACATGTGCTGAGAACCTGGTTACCCAGCTCATTTGCTGGAAAGTATTTTTTTACACTACCCACTGTTTTTGTCCTTTGAATTGTGGGATGATGCCAATAAATTTTAACATAATACAGAAATATGCTTTCAGTTTCATTTCTCTGTCTTTCATTCACAGTTCTTATATTGTATAACTGGTTCATCATTATATTAATTAATACATACTTTTTTAATATTTAACAAAAACTACTCATACATTTATTTTCAGAATAAACAAGTTTCATTATTTCTTCTGTGTTTTAATTTATGAGTTACACTTGTAAGATTTGAAAAAAAGAATGTGACCGTTAAAAATAATTAATTTCATAATTTCTTTTAACTTTTATGCAATTTTTTATCTTTCTATAAAAACTTAATGTAATTTTTACTTCCTTGTATGAAGTAAAGGAAGTATTGTATTTACGGAAAATTTCGGGTACCATATTTCAATGAAAATATTCATTTTGATCACTATCGAATGCAATTTAATGATATTTTTGCATGATATCTTGACTCTGTTTCCTCAAACGACTTTTAAATTTGATTTAAAATGGATTCAAAAGAGATTTTTTTCATGGTGTCTGTACATATGTATGCATCTTGCATAACTCAAAAATGAATTGCCTCAGAACATTGAAATTTTGTATGTTGGGCTATTATAACATGCAGATGTGCATCTCCTTCATTGGTTGCAATTGGAGGCACCAGAAGTATATAAATATATGTATATATACACTCTTTCCCCCCAAAAAAAACAAAGCACCATGAAGGAAGTGGTTGATTTTGATGAAATTGAATATGTATATAGCTCATACACAGATAATAAAATGATTAAGGTCATAGTACCTGTTTACGGCTCACAATCATTCATTGAGTGTTCAAATTAGTAGTTGGTCGAACCGCCCCTGGCAGCAATGCATGCTTGAATTCGTCGAAGCAAGGAGTGGTAGAGGTTCCTAATGTCATCCATCTTAGTGGTCTGTAAGGTCTTCAATATCATCATAAATTTTCTACCTCTGTTACTGGTTTTATACTTTGTGAATTGCACAATAGAAATGTGCACTATGATCGCAATTCCTGTTCATTTGCCTTGAAACTGATCATTTGCATGTTCGATCAAGATGTTTTTGCATACCAAATTTCGTCACGATTGCAAAAGTCCTTCTTGGTGCTTCGATTTTTTTGCAAAAAAGTGTATATCTAGTCTGTTACTCGGTTCAGTGAGCTCTTTCTTTATCTTATGTGCTTGTAAATTTTGCATTTTTTGCTTTAAAAATGATTGAATTATGTTGTTCTTATATTCCGGTTAAGGTTTTTATGCCTTTAGTTAACCTGCATGTTATAGTTGTAGAATTATCAACAATTTAGAAGTTGTTTAATTGCAGCTAAGCCTAATTTTTTTTACTATAGCAGCCATATTTGTTTGCATTTGAAACTTAGCAAAATGCTGGATTTGTTGTCAATCTAGAGAAACTAAGCTTTGCAACAACAAAATAACGTCTTCTTTTATTATTGCAAATTAAACTATGCTTAGTCCATTCTGGAATTATCATTTAAGTTATTAAATTATTCCATATATTGACTGACTCGGTATAGCGTCCACAACAAATTAAATCAGTTTCTATGCCTTCAGTGTCTTTTTGTTGAGCGAGACTAAAAGTAAACTTTCAGTTTTGTGCACCGAAAAATCTGCTTTCTTGCCCACCGACCAAATTGCTTGTTTCTGCGTAGAAACTGTAATTTAAATTTAAACAGAAATTTTTTAATTGTTTTAACTGTATTTGGTGTTTTATGTTTTTCTATATCTTTTAATTTTTAATATAGATGTTTTGAGTTTTTATGTGTTTTTGCCTTGTCACGAAGTCAGAACTGAATTAATTGAATAAGAAATACGTTTCTAATGAAGTTCAATGAATTAAGTTTAAATGAAATGCAGGAAAAATTCTTATAATTTAATATTCCTTACAAGGAAGTCATGCAGTGTACACATCAGATTATTTCTTTTAGCTTAAGTAAATTTATCTAACACATAATTCAGTAATTTAACAAATACATTACTAATAATTATAGCAAACTAAAACATGAAAAATTTTACAGACTAATTTGTATTTAAATATTATCAATATTTGTATTTAAAATTATGAAAACTGGTATTTGCTGTATAAGTAAAAAAAAAAAGAAATAGTATGATTCAAGAAGTAATTAAAAAAATTACAAAGGATGCATTTTTTGAATGCACTAAGTATTTTGAAATTCAGAGCAAATTATTTCACACAACATTCTAAAATGAAATGCAGACTTTTTACATATTATGTCTCAAGACTTATCTATGAACACACTATAATTAGATTTCTTATATAAAATCTTAATCCTTTTTTCAACATACATCTTGATAACTCATTTAACAGAAGTGTTAACTTTTCTCTTGGGAGCTTTGCACCATAGTCCAGGTTTGTATTTTGGGTAATAATGGCTTAATGAATGTTAATAACTTGCTGAATTTCTGAAAAAAAATTGAAATAAACCAGCTAGCTTATTAATTGCGATCGAGAATTATGGACTGGTAATTCTGAGGCTAAACAAATCAGATGAATAGTTCAATCCAGATAAGAGAGACATTCAAAAAGGTTTTAGCAACTTGCAAAACCAATGAGCAGTGTGTTGAGAAAGAGCACTATTCACTCAGGCATTTGTGCTAATGGATGCAACTTAAAACCTATTCCACTAATAATTATAAAAACATTTTATTTCTAATTAAAACATCTTTATTATTCATACAAGGATAGCACTCTAGCCATTAGTTACTCAAACAGGTAGAAATATACCACAGCTCCAATTAAGGTAAGTTAAAACCATATTACACTAACACGCAGCACTGGCTGACTGAACCATTGAGGCTCTGGCGAATATTCCAAAGCTGGTAATCGCCAACACTTGCACAGCTTTCAAGGCATACATATCCGAACCCCTATTGAATGATTTTTAACATACTCAAGTGCAAAATTAAGAGAATTTGCAAATTATATCTAGTTTTTGAAAAGTTATTGAACCAAAGATATTAATTATGTTGTCGAAGAATTATGCGAACATTCAAACACATAAGCATACATGTGCGTATCTGCACATCTGTGAAACTGGAGGGGATATATTTGTCCGAGGGGTTTAGGCGTTTTGTGAGCTCATACTCCTCACCACATTCTCTGTGTTTTACACAAGAGTTGGGTAAATTTTATAAGGTATCAGGTAAAATGAGTAGCCACAAACATATGGATGGCAGAATGAGATGGAGAATGTTGCACATGTGCAGGTGGTCCAAGCTCAGTGTAATGTCCAGTGTCATCTGCAGTTCAGGGAAACAATTTCAAAACAGTGGATACATATCGAAGAGATGGACAAGGTCAACTAAGATCGTTATTTGGCACTTTCAGCATAGCAACACAAGACTGCTACAGCTTCATGGCTCTCGTGAGCTGTACATTACTACTGGAATCTGAGTTTTTCTAATAAAATCCTCCTACTTATGGGCCAAAACTTCTGCATTGTATAATACAAGAGTGTCTGTGTGCTAGTATTTAAACACCTTTTGTGAAGAGGTTCCAAAATCAGAAAAGTTATTTTATTTTTAGCAGGTAGAATAAAATGGTGTTTCTGATCAAAACTACTCAACTTTTGAAGTTGACCACCAAATCTAAAGGCACACGATTTCATCAAAAAAGGGATTTAATAATTTAAAAATGGTTTTATCTCAGGGAAGTGTATCATTTTTTAATTCTTCATATTCACGCTAGAACTAAGACCACTGAACCCATTGCAAAATGACATTTTCTGCTGTTGATGTTCTTAATTATTAACGGGACTAGTTTGATGATCACTTTTCTTCTTAGAATGATGAATAAATCTATAAATAAAACTTCAATATAATTAGTAGTAACAGAATTAATATATGAAAACACTGCATTAACATTCACGATAGAAATGAAACTATCCGTTGCTTGCTTAAACTTACACATGTCCGTTGCTTACTTAAACTCGCAATCACTGGCATCTGTCACAGGTTCCAAATCACAGCCCTTTTGTAAATCAGTGGATTGAGAAATAAGTGATGGACCTTCCCCATCCCATTCTTGGATTTGATCAGAATGCAAGAGCCTTAGATGTAAGGTTAGCAGGATTATTAAACGAAGTTACGTATTTCCAATGGAAGTTTTTTGTAATCCCTTGAAGAATATCAAAAAATTTATTATTGCCGGTTTTACCATGGAATGTATGCTGCAGCTAACCTAAACTGAGAAAGAATGAAGAAAAAACTGGAGTATGTGAGGGCACGAAAATCTTTTAAGACCTTATAAAAATACCTTTTTTACAGAAGGACCAATAATAAAGCAGTGGCGTAGCGAGAGGGGGCATGATGCCCCGGGCGCCAGCTCCAAATGGTCTCCATACAAGATTTTCCGGAAAATTTCAGTTTTTATTTTGATCGATTTCTAGAAAATATATTTAAAATGAATAACTATTGTAATATAATTAATTATTTATTTTCTTGATTTGTCTGATAAAATGTGTAATAAAATGTTTGCAGTACATCAACCAAAACGTTCTTAGCGGCGCCAGATGGTCTCCATACAAGATTTTCCGGAAAATTTCAGTTTTTATTTTGATCGATTTCTGGAAAATATATTTAAAATGAATAACTATTGTAATATAATTAATTATTTATTTTCTTGATTTGTCTGATAAAATGTGTAATAAAATGTTTGCAGTACATCAACCAAAACGTTCTTCCTGACCACTTTATTTCTCCAAAATAGAGATATATTTTTATTTTTCTAAACGAAATGCACGTATATGTTCCCCTTTTTATTTTAAAAACAATAACGCGACCATGTCCCGAATTTCTCAAACATATCCAGTTTGCAAAATCCGATTCCATAATCTGGAAATGACATTTTGTGAAAATCCTAAAGCTTCCGCTACAATGGATTGCGTTTGACTCTCCTGTAAACGACTGATGGCCTTCTGGCTACCGATTCAACTAAGAGAAGCAGAGTCGTAGCTAGGGTTTTCAGCGCCCAGGGACAATTGAAGATTTCGCGCCCCCTACTG